GTGAAACAACTTTTATTATTACAAATAATACTGTGGATTCATTATTATTCCTTGGATACCAATTTTCGTGGGTACAGGTGAACCACTAATTCAAATGTTCAACGAATTGCAAATTTTCTATAGGCTTGGTATGCCGAGATTGGCAAAACCACGAAATCAAATATCCACGAAAATGCAAGTTTTCCTCAATCTACGAAAATTGATACCCGCGAAAATAAATGCATCCACAGTAACAAAAAACAAAGTCTTTGAATGCGTGTGTGCTATTTGTTAGTGTCCTTATAATCAATTAGTGTAATATTCAAAATCAGCTATATATTCTAATCTATTATATCATGCTTTATTTGTGTATTTTTCTACACCACAGAGTAAAATGTCTCATAAATATTTCAAGAGTTGAATGAATGACAGTTCCAAAAATTTGTATCGTTTTTTATGGACTGAATGTTCAGTATAATAAAACAAAGAGGCGAAAGAGGGTGTATTTCTGCTGTTTCACACACAGGGTTAAATCAGAAATATCCTTAAACCATATCTGGAAATTGAAAATCAAAAAGTTTAAATAATGTATGTAAAACATTTTTAACAATTTAATTACAAGTATCCATTAAAAGAAATTATTATTTTCGTCCTGTAAAAAGTGTTCTTCATATACATTGTTGTGATTAATTTTCGTAGAATTTGTCAAAATTGCAATTTTAAGCAATCTTTAGACATTGATAATTTGGTCTTATGGACAAAGTACACACACGACAAAGGGATTATAGTTAAGACGTTCATACTTTTTTAAAATTACCCTGGTTTGAAATAAATTCTTGAAAAAATGGCTCTCTCTATCATAATGTTTCTTAGTCAAGCACTGATTATTTCCAAATGATATCTATCAGATCATATGAAAAAGTCTTCAAAGTATGTGGACTTGAGGTTTTGATTAAAATTAATTTAATCATTCATAGTTAAAACAATATGAAAACTGTATTTTGTTTTGTTTTTAATCTGCATTTAAATTCAACACGTATTTTACCGAGGGCACAATTAATGCAAGATCGTGTATTCCTGAACGTTTGATGGCGTAGATGTATGAAATCTTCCCGTAGTACAGCCGCCAATAATGTGTGAAGGGAGGAATGATTTCATATAATATGATTATGCAATTTGGGGTTTGCTTTCAGAAACTGCAAGCATAAAGGAAGATAATTTGATTTTATGTATTTATACATTCCCGTGTCATCAAAGTATCAAAACAAAAATTCTTGTTAATAAGAACAGGATATTATTTTAAAAGAAGTCTCACGACTTTAAGAACACAAAATAAAATATGTACTTAATGTGGAAGGACAGTAATGAAGGAAAATTGACTGTACATTGAAACAATTTTATCTAAAATATCTAATTTGCTTTTTACCAGTTTGAACAATAGCTCTTACACCAAAAGGGGTCTGGATGGCTGAGTGGTCTAATAAGTTCTAAAGAGGAAATATATAGAGAACTGCGCATGATACGCCCGTCGCCCTTTTAGCTCGTTTTTTATGCTTTAAATGAATTTATATGATCAACTAGAAATACTGTGAGCTTGCTCAAATAGACCCCCCCCCCCCCCCAAAAAAAAAAAAAAAAATAAAAAAATAAAAAAAAAAAAAAAAAACACATACAGTGGTACCCATTGACACAAAACATGAATAATTTAGCACTATTAAGGCTACCTCAAGTTTAACAAAGTTTGTGGCCTTGATTTTTCACCTATACAGTTCAATCTTCTTTCCCACAACACCTTCTGGTTATGAACATCAATGAAAATGCTACCAAGAATCTTCAATCTTTCAAGGCATATTTTTGTAGCTGTCCCAATCTATCAAGGCGCATTTTTGCGCCTGTCCCAAGTCAGGAGCCTCTGGCCTTTGTTAGTCTTGTATGTTTTTTCTTAATATTTTAGTTCCTTTATATGTTTTGGAGTTTAGTGTGACGTCCATTTTCACTGAACCAGTACACAATTTTATTTAGGGGCCAGCTGAGGACCACCTCCAGGTGCGGGATTTTCTCGCTGCGTTGAAGACCATTGGTGGCCTTCGGCTGTTATCCGCTCTTTGGTCGGGTTGTTGTCTCTTTGACATATTCCCCATTTCCATTCTCAATTTTATATACATGATGATATCATTATATATTATAAAAATTCCATAACTCCACAATATCATATAATAACAAAATCTACTGTTTTTTGAAAGTTTGTCTTTAGTGTAAAAGTTTACAAATATTTCGAAGCTCCATACTATAATTTGAGTAAAAACACGTATATTAGATGCAAAATATCCTAAATTATGCACCTACAGTAAACTTTTAAATGCTAAACAGATGTACACAATTAAAATCTACCAACTTTACTGTAGGTGCATTATTTCTTCCAACAACAAAAACTGACAACATCGATATAGTCAATAGTGCTGACAATGGCGTTAAACAATAAATCAATCACCTAAACCAAAACGTTGCTGAACAGAGATTTATATTAGAAAATTTGAAAACCCCGTAGATTTATATAATGGTGATAAATGTAAAGGGGTCTTCTATTTATTTCTATTAACAAAAGGTCAAGGAACACTGCATGGAAACAAAGCGTCTACAGGACTTGTCATTTTTATATATAAAAAAACCACCACTAGACAAAAATTGAAAAATACACAATTCTAAAATTTCAGAAAAAATATTGTTTGAGAAAGGGACTTTTGGTCCTTTTCAGTAATATTTCAAACTGAGATGACCATCACATCCACTTTATTTTGGCTCGTAGTTGTCTCATTGGCAATTATACCACATCTCCTTATTTTCATATTGATACTATGAAACGCTATGCTTACTATTTGATAGTTTTCATCATTGCAGCAGAGATAGTAAACAGTAATGATACCTTAGGGCAATAAACCTACGTATTACTCACTTTTAGAAGAATGCTTATCATTGTATCTGGTACTGATTGTACTATTAAGAATAACTATCCTCTAATCACATAACTATTTATATGCATTATTAATAGAAAATTGTTATGTGGTCAGGACATTTTACAAATGTAATTCAAGCACAAATTGCTCAATACTTTTTGAATACAAAAATAAGGAGATGTCGTGTTGAACCTTGAACATGAGGAGTTGAAAATTCTTATAATTTTATATTTATGACGCTGCGACAAAATGTCCGTAGCGTATTGTTTTACCACAGTTCGTCTGTCCAACAAAGAGTATATGGTATGACCGGCTAGAAAAGGCCTAGCTTTAAGTTTTACTATATATTTATTTACAAATGTAAATTGTCAGTGCTTAATAAATGAATAAATATAGTGTTATTTTAGAGCATCTTCATACAACACTATTCTTGATGTGGATTTACCAACTGGCCAAGTTTTTTTTCAAAACCCATTATAGCGTTTATGGGTCTTCATCCTGACGACGATCTTAAGGTCTAGAAGACAAACGCTTCAATAACCCGAATTATTCAGTCGTTATATTTCGCTGCGCTACGATGGCTACATTATCAAAACAAAACAAAAACATAAACTAGAATATCAGACAGCCATATGAACTTCACATAAAACCGCAGTGAACTCAGAAATTCAGAAAGGGTACACAGTATTTACTTCACAACAGACTCATGTTGGTGTCCGATAAGTCATAATCGGTGCCAAGGATCAGTAGATTCCTCTTGTTCTTTATTTCAGGTTTATTGAGATAAAACTTTCTCACCAAATTTCAACTTACAAAACTCATGTGAAGGGCATCATCTATATAACGAAGTGTGAAAATAGATAACAAAACAAGCTTTTTTTTATTATTATTAACATGCTTAAAATCTGTCTTATACGAAAAAAAGGGACACGTCGGTGTGAAGGGAACACATTTAGGTCCATCTGGAATATCTATTTGTATCTTTTATATTGTAGACAAAAAATAATGGCATTACACACAAAATAAAACAAACAGTAAAATGCTCTTTAAAAGATGATCAAAAACGGTATAAGCAATATAACAACAAACCAGAGAATTGTCACATATTTCAAAGGAAATTAAGACTCTCTGGGATCTCCTTCAAATGAAAAAAACACGTCCTTCGAACGTCCTTCAAACAGAACAAAATATGGTGTCAGTTAAAAATGAAGCATCTTGATGAAAATAAAAATAAGAAGATGTGGTATGATTGCCAATGAGACAACTCTCCACCAAAGACCAAATGACGTTTAAGAAAAGTATATATAAATTGGTTTGTGGAAACATTTTTTTGATAAGAATTAACGCTGCTTTTAGAAGTTTCTAAAACAGTATATCAATATCTACGTTAGCTATCCCTTTTCTTGAACCAAAGTTGGGATATTGAAAAAGTATTTTAACTGTACAAAGAAGATTCTGTTGCCTTACAATTTATGAATTGATTTGATGACATTTATGCAAAATTGATGGATACCATTGATTTGCGTTCCCTCACCTTAAGGTGCAGTGTTTTTATGATTTTTGTTGATAATCAGGAGATAGAACCTATAGGTAACTGTTATCAATCATCAGATCGGGTTAAATGATAGAGGATTGTTAACTTTGTTTTTATTACTTGAGTGGATTTATCTTGTATATAAACATCATTGCGAATCACATGGTGACAGTTGATGGAATCAGTGGGGTATCAATAGAGGAGATCTACACCCACTACCTACGGTTAATCAACAGACGTTGCTTCAGATGCTTACATTTCTTTTGATAATTAAAAAAAAGATACATAGTTTTTAAACGAACATAAATAGTTTTTAAGCGGATAATCTTTCATTTACATTTTTTTTATAATTCAAAAAAGATTTATAGTATATAAACGGACAATTTTTCATTCACATTTCATTTAAGGCAATTAAACATAATCGAAAAATAACAGTTTAATGCTTGGAACTGAAAAAAAGAAACTGAAAATTGTGAAGTGATCATATTGAGCTTGTACCTTGCAATTCTTAATTGGACAACTTCATGGAACAATAATAATTAATTGTGCCGTTTCAATGATATTGATTTCGCATTATGAAATTTGACCGCATATTCATTTTTTGCTACAGTTTTCTTGTTTTATGTTTAGAAATTGGAGATTTTTCAATAACTCCCGAGAATATTGAAGAATTAAAAAATTTTGTTAATAATTTAATGAGCTGTAAAAAGATCGTTGGACTTGGACTTACTCTTGTTTACGACAATAAAGTAATATTTGCAGATGGATTCGGGATGGCAAACATTGAGAAACGTATTTCAGTTGACAAAAATTCTAAGTTTGCAATAGGATCTTTAACGAAAGCTTTTACAAGTACAATCATTGCTAAAGTGCTCAGTGAAAACACAAGGTAAGACATTCAGTATTATTTATTTTTTATGCTTAAAATGTCATGTAGTTTCATTTTATATAGTGCCCTAAAATGCATAATATATATATAACCATATTTTATTTAATTTAAATACCTTAATTTGAAAACTGACATTGGATAATCATAGATGTAGATGGATTTAATCGTAAGTACACCTAATGTTTCTTCACTAAGAAAACGATGAGGGTCTACGACCAAAGGATACATGGACAATTAGATGGTTGTTTAATGTAATTGATATTAGCTTCATTCACCACACGAAAACAACACAAACATTTGTGTTTTGTAAGACAGTACTCTTATTTTCTCTAGTAATTGTTTTCCAATATTTCGTCAGGCTCAATTTACACCTCGTTATACACATGTCAAACAAAAAAATCACAATGGTACATAAAAAACAGACTAGAATACGTATTGTTTACATTTTTGTTGTAACAATTTCTAAAACAGGTCTGTTATTGTTATAACATTCTATTATATTTATATTTTTATCCATTGTTCATTCAGCAGCCTCATTTTTATTGGTATAATAATCTACTGAATTTTTTAAATATTTTTTTTAAATGTTTTAAACACGAAAATTACAACTTTATAAAAGTAGCGATATTCAGCGTTTACCATCACCAGGAACGATGGAACCCATAACATCTGAAAGTCAATGATGTATAATTACTTAAATACTTCAGGGGCTTTCAAGAGCAAAATGAACCGGATACGAAAATACTCCTAGGGTCAACTTTGCCTGGAGGAGTTGGAACCTTAGTTTCTTAATAATGTCTAAAATTGTCAACGAGGAGTTTCATAAAACATTGTTATCATGTCAGGACCTAGAGACAGACTGCTGAGCTAGAAATACCCAAGAAACAAATAGTCCAAGAGCAGAGGTATCGACCAACTGCATGAAAATAAGAATAACACTTTATAAATTTGGTGCGTCCGTATCGTGTTTCGGTATCGTATCTACCTTTATCTGAATGCTATACTGCGACTTATTACCGTTTTGTACCTGTTATGAGCAACATGATGGGTGCAATGAGTGGATCAGAAACTGCTTACACTACCTAAGTATCTGTGTTTAACCTCTAGCTTTGTATCTGCTATGGGGTTCGCCTTATTTTCAAAACGGTATGATAATGTACATCAAAGAGACAATTGACAATATTTTATATTTGTGTAAATTTGTTTGTTAAGTTTACCCGGGTTGCCGTTCTTGGTCCACTGTGTTACCCCTTGGATTTTGTTGGGGTTTAAGTTGTTGCCATTTCTGTAGGTTTTTTTTTTGTGGAGTTTGGTGACTGATGCTTGTTAGTTCATTTATTTTCTTTCGGTTATGTGTTGTTCAGTGGCAAATGTTTTATTCTTTGTCTAAAACAGCAACAACGGATACCCGAATGAGTTATTGTAACAGTTTGTGCGCCGTAGCGCGGAACTCTTCTAAAATAGAGCTTCGGATTTTAAATTCCTATGCCGACCGGATGCTGCTGCATATACACACATTTAAAACAGCCAAATGAGACCGTCAAGATGGTCCTTACTTTCGGGCAGTAGTATTCCAGGTTGTAATGTATATACCTTAGTTATCCTTTAGAATAGAAGTAAACATGATTCATTACCAGCAGATAAAATACTTTGATAAAAATTAGAAGATGATCATGTATGATTACCATTGATACAACTAACAACGAAAGAGAAGTCAAGAATGCGAATATCGCGAAGATCTACCGTATGATTCCTGATGTTACTGCAATCATTTTATCATACAATAGTATATAATTTAGTTTTGTTATTTCTGTGGCTACGTTTTAGTTATCTCATATGTAATCTTATTTGATCGAATTAAGGGGGGAGCGCGATAATTGCTTTCATATAAATACAAATCCGTAATTTCCACTCGTGATAGGTTAAAGCTTTTAATTCACCCTTTTTCAAATGAATTGACTGATGTTTGTTTATAAGCAAGTATAATATTTTGAAAAAATTTCATCTCGGAAAACCTACAACCAAAAATGATAAATGAATGAATAGACTAACGAACAAACGAAACGGCCAGCGTCATGTTTATGTCTTAGGAGTAAGATATATGTTTTGATATTTTAAACTCGAACCGTTTTCAAGGTTACGCTATATTTTCCTTATATACTCAACAGAGCAAAGTTATTTCACTTCCATACCATCCGGAAACATTTACTAGATTAAAGACAGGCGGACCAGATAATACTAGATAATTAATAATAATCTAACATGTTAATTAAATTACGTTTAGTTTCTTTAAGTTAATGTTATTTCGAATATTATAGATGTCTTAAACAATGTAATTTAATCGACGATTGAATTCAGATGTAAAAAGTATCTTGTTGCTTTTGTAAAAGAACACGTGTATAATTTTACGAATGCATCTCTTGTGTTTGAAAATGAAGATGTGTTTTAAATGAGACAACTATCCATCAAAAATCATAGACAGAAGGAAAACAGTATGAACAAAGACAGGTCACCGATCGGCTTTCAACAACGAGTAAACCAAATACTAGTACCACAAAGTAAACTATGAAATATCACGGGATGATAAAATGTAAAACAATAAAAAATATGACACCTGATAATAATGAAAAATTGAATAGGACCTGGTTTATGATAAAAGATAAGATAAACGAAAACATCCATGACAAGCAAAACACCTGGATGACTGTATATGAAGCAGAATTCATGCATACCTTCTCAAAGACGGAAAGAAAAAATCATTTTACAAAGTACTTTAATTTCAGATATATTGATAATGTCGTGTCCCTCAATAACCCACATTTCAGTGCACTTGAGTGCTTGCATCTCATAAACATATAGTTTCCCAGTCTACTAGAAATTAGTATCCTATTCATTTTTTCACTATATTGAAACAGATGGCCGACTTCAAACTAGAATCTATGAACAAAATTGATGATTTCAACTTTCCAAACTTCTCATTCGAAATTCTCAACAGTGACATACTATCTACCCAATCGTATGGCGTTTATAATTAAAACATAACAATCTTTCATGATCGCACTTTACGAGCTATATCAACAGGTGTGTGCTCTTTTCATAAAAATGGTCCAACAGAGTTATGAGGAAAAACGATTGCAATTATCAACACTACACACTTTGCAGTCACCTGAACGAATTAATTGACCGATACGACGTGTCTATGTCTCTCTAGCGACATGTCTTTGTCTCTCTAGCGACATGTTTTCGCGGTTTTATATCGTTGTACCGGTTGTGTCCTATTCCAGATTGTGACATTTTGACAGAATGTGGATTCCAATGGCATGCGATGCATGCATAGCAGGAGATGTTTACCATGTCAATGCATTCGGTCTCCCTCCTTGCCTTTATTTGCATCTTCGTATTCCATTTACGCGATATAAACATCGGTAGACTATTTTTGCCTAAATTTTGTATAGACACATACAAAATGTGGTGGTGTTAAACACGTCTGTGAGCACTTAAACTTCCTCTAAGACCAGGACAGTTGCGTAATAACTTATACAAAGATGAAAAAATGGAATCAATACATCTGTGTTAAGCATAAAAACATGACAAAAGACCTAAAGTACCGTCATGCGAGTACTGGTCTTATATATTGCATGAAATTCATCTTTTCCGCAAATACTTAATCAAAAATACTTAACTCTTAGGTAAATTCAAAAACCAGGATGTCCATAAAACATGACAAACTCAAATGCTCGTTGGAACGAATGGAAAACAACTGTCATATTCCTAACATGGTACATGTATTTTCCAAAGAAAATGATGGGCTAAACCTGGTTTTATAGCTAGCTAAACCTCCCACTTGTATGGAAAGATACCCCGATCTTCTGTTAAATCTTCATATATATGTCCTTCATTGTATTAAAAAAATAAATGAGAATTCTTATGTTCAATTATAATGTTTTGGTGACATGAATCGCTTGGTTAACCTTCACCAATACAGTTATATATGACAAAACGATGATGTATACGATATATCAGCTTATTTGATTATATTTTCAACATGGAAAATAGAAATAAAGATCAAGACAGACAAAAATGTCCTAATATATTTATGCTCCTTATCAAGTGTTTTTCTATTCAAAAGTATGATTTTTAAAAGTATGTACACTCCTTTGGCAAACAAAATTGAATCTTTGCTTCCTTCGAAACATCTTGATGTGACATTTATTGAAGAAGTTATTACTAGGAAAACCTGACAAATACTTCCTTTGAAAACCAATATTGCCATTTTTATTTTCAAAGTAATTTACTGATTAATTTTTCTTTTCTGGTTTCCTTGTAAGATAATTATCATTATGTCTAACACATCGGGATCTATCGGGGGCAATCCATCGTGATCTATCGGGAGATCCATTCATAGAAATTATACTTTAGAGAATTACTTTTACATCCATAGTGTTGATTTTATGGTAACCGTTAAGTAGATAGTTATAAAAAAAATTTGAATTAAAAGTCGTCTCGTCAATAGGATGGTAATATTTTATATGCCACTGTACAGATACAAGAATATTATAACTGATGCTAAATCTGCAGTCATATTATAATATGTGATTGTTTTTGGACGCAAAATTGCTTTAAAAAATGTTAAACAAATATATTGAAGTAAATAAAACTGATGAATGAAAGATTTCTTTTTTCTATAATTTTCAGTCTATCTCAGCGATGCATATCCAATCTCTATCATTATTTACACTTTCACAAATAGGTGAAATCACCCTTTTAGTGTACCTTTTTAACATATTATGTTCTTTTAGATGTTTGAAGTTTCTCGCAATAATTCATTACTGTTAAGATTAAACGCTTGAGGTCGACAGACCTGTTCTGTACAGTTTTTAAAGACGTTTTACATCGGCCCAGAGATCAAAAATAAAGGCAACAGTAGTATACCGCTGTTCGAAATTCATAAATCGATTGAGAAAAAAACAAATCCGGGTTACAAACTAAAACTGAGGGAAACACATCAAATATAAGAGGAGAACTACGACACAACAGACACACATTAAAATGTAACACACACAGAAACGAACTATAATATAACAATGGCCATTTTTCTGACTTGGTACAGAACTTTTTAAGAAAAAAATGACAATTAATTTCAATATCTAACTACTACTGAATATGATTGAAAAAAGATATTTAAGATTTACAAATATAGCTATGCTACCGTAGGTATGCAGATATTTATAGGTAATTAAGATTTCAAAATATTTTTTAGAAGAACTTTGGCTTTTGGTCAGAAATTACGATTGCTATCAACTTGTATCTGTTAAACCCATATTCAATGGGTGATTGTCGATGCAAAAACTGCAAAACACAAAAGATTTTAAGAAATATAAAAAACACTTTAAAGGGGAGAATTTACCAAGTGGCAATTATTATTACCATAAATCGAATTAAATTAGGCAACACCATGCCCCCTCTCCCCTCAAGAAAAAAACGATGAATACACCTAAGTTCACAAAATACTACACAGAAAATTAAAAACTGAGCAACATGAACCCTACCAAAAAAAACCTATGGACCAAATACAATATTGGTAATGAGTTTGATAAATCATATGAATTATCCTGTATAGATAAGCGAAGGAACCACCTATATAAGAATAGCATGTTGTCTATAATACAAAACATATCAATCCTGGACACAGTGTTAATAGTGTCACGATGGCATTTCTTTCCTACTGAAACACACCATTGATAAGTTTATCTAATACTAATAGATTTATCAAAGAGGTTAATTACTCGATTAAGGTTAATCTAATGATTACATTAAATGGGAACTTGATGATCAGTATAAAAACTATCTTTATTTGTTGGAATTCGTGAAATGCATTTATACTAATTTTCATGTTTGTAGATTAGGATGTTTTGGATACGTGGTTTATCTTGATTGTCAAATGTACTATCAACTGCAACACATTTTTTGTTGGCGTCTTAGTTAGATTTATTTGTATGTGTGTTAAAATTTTTTAGACAGTTGTGATGTATTTTTACACAATTTTGGCTGCTGGATCCCAATTATTGTCACATTTACCTGTTATGTCTGTTTGGGTTTGTCAATATAACGGAATTATAAACAACTATCATACAAGTGGGAGGTTAGGCTAGTTATTAACCAGGTTTAACCCACCATTTTCTTCGGAAGATGCCTATACCAAGTCAGGAATATGACAGTTGTTTCTCACTCGTTTGATTTTGTCATTTTTTTTGTAGACTTTCTCTTTTTTAATTTACCATGGAGTTCGGTATTTTTGTTATACATTTTTGTTTGTCTTGTTTTTGTTTTTTTTTTGTGGTTTTTTTTCAAGACAAAACAAAATCCAGACGAGAACGACAGCACTATATTCATTAATTTTTTATGGAAAATATTTCGTTTGATCCGCTTGCGTATCGAAACTTAAACATGACAGACTAGCAGATACATAAAACAACACGATATAATTTCATTGCATGCTCTAGGAAAAAACCTGGCCTCGTTTAACAAAAACATCTTACGACAAAAATTGAGAGTAAGTCAAGGACAATTCTATATACTTACGATCAATTTTAGTGGTAAGAGTTTTAGTGAAACGCAGGTCAGACGGATATAATCAATATTTAGTGAAAATTGAAAGCACGAGAAACCAGCAGACTTATTTCAGTTTATTCACAACTTTTTTCCAAGGTACCCTTTGTTTCTCATTTTTAAGGTACCATACATTTAAAATACACTTCTGGCAAAATGTGTTAATTTCTTGTTATTTTGCAGCACTATTCGTGAAATTTAACGTTCATTTCTTCTATACATTTTATATGCAAACTTTCTTTCCTACTGTTATTTAACTATTAAATGAAAATGTTTTGAAAATTTTGATTTCAGATACAATTGGGATACACCAATAAAAGATATTCTTGGGGACGAGTTTAGATTATTTGACGGTGTAAGAACAGACAACGTTAATCTTCGTGATCTCTTAGGACACAAAGTAGGTGTTCCCGGATACTTTGAACCTTTACTGGTTGGCTTTCCTGAAAATACATCTAGAGAAGATTTCATCAAGTAAGATGTGCAGATTTATTTTATTTTCTATACTCCTGTGATGGAAAGGGTATAAATGGAAGTCGTTTATGGCTATAGTAAAAACAATTATGTCGCAAGTACGCGTTTTGTTTCGTTTTGGCCCTAACCGGCTTCCGTAATATTTCAATGTTTGTATTTGTTATACTAAGCAAGATTATTCATTGTTTCCATTGATTATGCTCAATATGAATACATTATTCGGTGAGATAATTGAGAACAGATAAAACATAACGAACCTATCTATGAAAGAAGGAAGAAGTGCTGGGGAGGCAAAACTAAAATGAGCAACAATGCAAAGGTACATGAAACAGGAAAAAAAAACCAGGACAGCTCACGGACAAACAACAAAAGACGAACATAATATAAGAACAGAGAACATTTGATGCTATCGTTCTGAATGTCCTCAGTGAAAATATGATTAAAACGAGACGGGCGTCTCAAATCATGCCATATGTTAACTTCCAGAGCTTCTGATATTTCTTTCAATCTGCGGAAAATTATCTCTCTATCTTTTTTTCAATGTCAATAATTTTCTTAATCGCGATTTAATGGATAAATATGATTATATGTGTTATTTCAGTCGATTCTTATATGGAATGAAGTTCCTTAAAAATATTGTTTTATGAACTTAATTAACTTATTACGCCAAGCCCATTTTCATTTGCATCTAATACAATTTCTAGATATTTTAATACCTTTGCTACAGTTTGCTGTAAAATTCGATAGTTGTAGAAAAGGATTTACTGAAGTTATTATTAAGTGTGTACCAGCCCGACACGATATTTATTACGCAGATTCAATATCAGAAGCTCTTGAAGTGAACATATGGCATGATTTGCGACGCCCGTCTCGTTTTAATCATATTTTTACTGAGGACATTTTTCTCCTGATGCCAATATTTACCTATAAAAAGTCCTTGCCATGAGAGAATTTTTCTTAGTATTAAATTTTTGCATTGCTTTTATTCAAAATATAAGGATAAAATTGAAATGTAGCAACTCATAATATTAAATAAAATTAATATCTAACATGTTATATACAGATTAAAGTCTCGTCTCTCAACAATGTTTATGTAGTATCCAAGATTGTGTGTACAAGTTATTAACATTTTGCAAACCTCTTAACATACTTGGAATCTAAAAGCACACTGTCATTGATATAAGTTGTCACTGTCATATGTGTATGACTTCATGCTACAACCTTACAAATAACATTTATACAATGCTTCTATAAGTCGGACTTTGTAAATAAAGACGATTCACAAACCCAACCTCTTTTGGGGAGATATTTAATATTCATAGATATTTTGTTTTGTTTATTATCAAATAGTCCGTTTCTATGTATGTTGGCGTTTGTTTTTGTAGCAGTTCTGTGTTTATGTTGTTCCGTTGTTGATGTGTTTTCCTCGGTTTTGGTTTGTGACCCAATATTTGTTTCAGTTAAATTGATTAATGACTGTTGAACAGCTGTATAGCTGGAACCAGTGGGTAACCAGATATGATCTCCATGTTTCATCTCATAGAGATGCAACTTGGGAATTTTACCTGTATAAATACTGTTGGATAGAGGACAAATTGAATTCTCGTGAAGAGTCAGAGTAAAAGGAGGCGTAGTACAGAATGAATTTTAGTTATTAGTTTAAACTCGTAGAGGTTAAAGGCATTTAAATGCTGAAAATATGCCGCACAATCCTATGTTTTGACATTTCAAAAAATAGTAGTGTATATCAACTTTCCATTCTAGGATATGCTTTTTAAGAAACTTCATGGTAAAAGTGGCACAATTTTAGCCATAAAAGGAGTTCCTATGGAAAATTGCATGGGCTATATTTACAGGCTTAAAAATTAACTTATATCACACGGTAAAAGAAGGTCAACATCAACATTCAGATATCTTCCACAAAAATATATAAAAATTTTAATTTATATAACATAACAACTTGTACACAACATAAACATGTTAAAATAAAATGTATGCATGGCATTGCAAGCCGTTCTATATAAAATTATCATAGACTATATAACATTAACTTTTGATATTATTTAACAGAAATATACAATATCAACCGCCAGTAGCACCGATCAGAACGAAGTTTATATACAGCAATTATTTCTATGCCCTTGCTGGATATGTGGCAGAGAAAATAACAGGACGTTCGTGGGAGCATCTCGTCCAAGAATATTTATTTAACCCATTATGTATGAAAAATAGTGGGTTTGTTGATCACATTTCCTCGTTCGACGAATTCGCCTTAGGATATTCTTATATAAAGGAGACTCCAGTCAAATTAAAAGAAGAGTTGTTATAGTAAGTGTTATCAATTTAGATATTTGAGCAATTTACCTTGACCTCTAAATCTCTAGTAAATTCTTTAGATATTCTTATTTCTTATAGTTGCAAGATTTAATTCACATTTACATTTATTCAACATCCTAAATGATATCAGACTTTACCTTACATAGCTTGATGGTCGCTATTGATACAATCCATTTCTGTAAATTGACTGTTAATAATATGTTAAATTGATTAGAACACTTAGGTTCCTCCCCCCTCCCCACCTTCCCAGATACATGTTCCTTAACATCGTACTTTTTTTGTTCCAATCATTTTGATTCGACATTCAAGAGCCACTGATCGGAGTCTCATGTATACACAAGAAAAGACACTATATTAGTCCCTTACGAATATTGTTAAAGTGGTAATATAAACATATATCACAATTTTTCAATTGTGACCAAGATAAATATACTATATACACAAACAAACAAATAAAATTTCCAAAAATCAAGCAATACAGATGAAACAATTAGAAGAATGAATTGGTAGCATAAAAAACACCTTAATAATTGGTACTCATATAAATTGCTATTACATTTTATTTCTAATTCTTTTTAAAAACATGTTCATACTATATGACACACTGATAACATTTTGCGCTTAAGTTCAGTGTTGCATGGATTTCAGCTGTTATCTTCGGTAATGAACTTATTTCTAGGTGCAACATGGTTGAAAATATGAATATATAATGAATCTCGTCCCCAACAGTATCCCTGCAAAGACGACAAATTATGTTCTCTGTAGGAATACTTGTTTCAATTGGAACTGTATGTATAAACATCTCAGTAAAAATACAAACGTTACGAATAACAGCTGAGGAAATCGCGCGAACTCCAAAAGGAAGTTTTCCATCTGTGTCAATATCAAGGAAAAGATCAAGATATGAAGCAGACCTTCTTGTTTCGGTAGCATCGTTAATCTCATGTTTACCGGGATATATTTTATGCAAGCATTCTATAGAATAAGGTTTATTGAGTGACAGGATATCATTAATATATCTGAAAGTAAAATTAAAGAGCTATCCATCTCGTATATCCAGTGAACGTGAGATGTATAGTACTTCCGAAACAAGACCCATTGTTTCATATCTTGATCTGTTCCCCGGAATTGTTACAGACTAGAATCCGTAACAAACATGATGATTTCAACTTCCCATTTCTGAGCAGTAACATACTTTCTGTCCCATCGTACGGCGTTTACAGATCTCCATTGATACGTTACGCTCGTACATGTTCGCGATTAAAGCGGAAGGCTTTGCCATTAAAGCGGGAGGTTTGGCTAGCCACCAAACCAGGTTCTTAAAATGTCCTGTACCAAGTCAGGAAATGGCTATTGTTATCTTATAGTTCGTTTCTGTGTGTGTTCCATTTTGGTGTTTCTGTTGTGTCTTTGTTCTCCTCTTATATTTGATGTGTTTCCCTCAGTTTTAGTTTGTAACCCGGATTTGTTTTTTCTCAGTCGATTTATGAATTTCGAACAGCGATATACTACTGTTGCCTTTATTTTGCAATATACGGACTTTATTAGAAGGGGGTATGCTCCTTAGACAAAAAAAAATGTTCCAACACAGTCTTGAAAAGAAGAACGACTTAAATCGACACTTAATATGTTTTACGGTTAACATTATGAATAAGTTGCCCGACACGATATGTCTGTGCCTCAACATTTCCAGAAACCAGAATAGTCGTCTTGTCTCTTATTTAGCAGGAGACGCGTACCCTGTCGACACACCTGGTATCGCTTCTTTTGTTAACTTGATTTGTCGTCTTTATCGATTTGTGAATTTTGAATATTGTTTTATTTATTTGGTACAGACACAAATTGAGGTGGACTTACTTGTTTTACGTTGGCAAAAAACTACATGTTATCTTACAATTCATCATCACCTTCGTTTCCAGTCGAGTTTAAATATGAATAGCAAGTTAAAATGGTTTGATCCACATTTACTATATATATATACAATACATAAAAAAAGGGCTATCACCTATACCCGAAAACTCCTAAAACGACATACAAATAACGATAAACAGCAAACACACTACCGTCTCTATTTGCTATTAAACTGACCAAATTGACGTGTTTTGATAAACCACGTGTTGCTTAAATGTTTTGTGTGATGTCCAGCCAAATATATTCGAAATATTGCACTCGGCATTATTCGTTAAATAATTAGAGAAGCAGATTCTTCCACTTTATCCTGTTTAAAACGAGACTTATCCAATCTCGAATGTTAAAAAAATGAATTGTAAATAAACTCATAATAGATACCAGAATTAAAATTTGGTACGCCAGACGCGCGTTTTGTCTTCAAAAGACTCATCAGTGACGCTCGAATAAAAAATATTAAAAAGGCAAAATAAAGTACGAAGTTAAACAGCATTGAGGACCAAAAATTCCGAAAGTTTTTGCCAAATAAAGCTAAGGTAATCTATTACTGCGGTAAAAAATAATTTAAAAAAAAAAAAAAAATTGACAGTTCATTCATAATTATAACCATATCGATGATAATCTATGCCAAGACAGAAGAGCCTATCAATTCACAGTTTGATAAGTTAAAAATTTTGTATGATTTGTGATATAATCTATTTTTTTATGATTTTTGCAGTACATCATAACCTTCAGACCAAGATGGATATGTGTATATTTTATTAATCTTAACGGATGTTCATCTTTTATGTGTTGTATTTTAGTACATCATCACCTTCGGGTCCAGCCGGTTCTATATATTCCACACCAAAAGACATGGGAGAATGGATATTGTTGCATCTTAATACAGGCAAAGATTCGAGTGGACACAATCTAGTGGACAATGCTACATTAAAAGAGACATATCGGGGTCAAATGGCGACTCCATTATTTGGCAATTTGTTTAAACCAGGATTCCCAATATCTGATGTTGTTATCTCTTACAATATGGGATGGTTATCATCAGTGTATCGAGGTATGTATCAATTTTATGTATACATTCAGGACAAACAACTAAAATACAAACAACAGTCCACAAAAAAAAACAAGATTGAGCAACACGAAACCGACCCAAAACCATGAATGATCTAAGGTGATACAGAAAGGTCAGCATTTCCTACTACTATTGATTGGCAATAAGATTAGTAGCTCTTCTTAAAGCTTATATATAGGATATGATGGTACGAATGAACTGGTAATATGTCTGTAAGGCAGACACCATGTAAAGCATCAACACAAACAGGAACAAATATGTCCATACTGTATATTTACAGTTTTTATTACTACTTGGTTGGTAGTTCTCCTGATAGACTGTCAGTCCTCGAGGGTTATATCCTCTAAGCAGCCATCATTTTTATCTAAATAAATTGTGTATGCTTTTTATCAGCTTATATAACATTTTATCATGCGTAAACAAGCTTTCAAATTTTTCAGGTAAAGTTTTGCATGATTTAAATTAAATATTTTCATCGTAAGTTTTCTTCAATATAACTCTGTTTGTTTGGTATTATGAAATCAAGAAACTGCGACAAATCTTAAGCAAACAAAAAGTTAAGACTGACTCATGAACAAACTCATCAAAAATACCATGCTTCAAATTTTGTACTCCAGACACGTGTTTCGTCCACAAAAGACTCGTCAGTGACGCTCGAATCAAAAAGTTTTTGTATTATGATCCTCCATAGGTATTGCTGTTGGAGTAAAATAAGGTTTCAAAGTGAAATTGGAATAAATATCAGTATAACAAAAAAGTTAAATACAATAACACAAGTATCCAGTTAATTACCTGTGTTTTCTGTGCACGCGTTTTCAGAATACTAATTGCATTGTATTTCTGTTGACTCTAAACATACTATAAGTACACAGGTGTCATGCAAATGTAAATTATTAATTTTGAAAGTGTGTACCTGTTATATAAATTTTTGAAACAAGAGATATTCTGAACAAGTTGTTACTATCATATCCAATGAATTGAAAATGTTTTGCCAGTTAAATGAGGAGAAAAAGTTCTTCTATATGTTTAATAATGAGATATTTTATATTTTGTGAGTAAATTCTTATATGATCATTTGTGTTAAATTTGATATAAATTCTGATCTAAGATATGTGCATGTATGTGTATTAATTTTACAATATGTACAAGAAAAAGAGTAATCCCCGGGAGCCTTTCGAAATTATAGTAAAAACGTACGGTAACGATTTATTTTCATGTCTACGCAACGTGCTTTGCAATCACCTTCTCAGCAGTAAATTTGATATAAAGCAATGTTTGTTATTCTATTTAGAACTAAGATTGAAATTGGGACATACTAAATCATGTATTTAAACCATGCCAGTACTGAAACAAAAGGTACTAGGTACGTCAAGGAACACCAGCAGCACTACCGATCAAATGATAGTAAAACATATCATACCGATTGTTCATTCTTACAACATGTTCTTTAATATACCTCACCAGGTACGCTTGCGACCAAAACTGAAAAATAAAACCAAAAGCGAGCATTGCATGACGAAGTTTCTACGTTAGTAACTAATTTTCATTTCAGGATACAGACGACTGTGGCACTCAGGTGGTATTGTTGGTTATTCGTCACTTCTTTGGTTGTTTCCAGATAAGAAAGTGGGCATATATGCTTCGATGACAGGTTCGAAATCTAACGGGAACAGTGAAGCAATCAAAACTATATTAAGTAGATCTGCCGATATGTTGCTTGGTCTTGAACCCTGGTTAAATGATTCAACTGCGTGTTCATTTCCAGAACCGTGGATTAAGAAAACTCCTGTTGTATATCCGCTTGACGAAATAGTACCTGAACCTTTCTGGAACATTTCAACACAGCAAGATGATTATGTAGGTTTTTACTGTAACCCAGCTTTCGGCATGATGAAAATACAAAAACAAAATTTACAATTAGTAATGCGATATGGAAGATTTGGTAAGATGAAATTGTATCCTATAACTGAGACAGCATTTGATGTACGATATATAGAAGCATTGTGGTTTGTTACAAATTCTGATGACAATGTCACACCTGTTCGTATAACCTTCGGTTCAGATTTTAACTCGTTGGTGTATCCCATTGATAGATTGTATAGTAATACTACTTTTAGTAGAAATTGCAATGTTAACGTCGATAGCTCACATCTTCAGGGAAATGGTGGCAATATTATGCATTTTATACACGATACAAGGAGCTACCTCAAATCGTATCTACTCATGTTGAATTTGTTTGTAATCTTATTTATACAATGCCAATAAAATATATTTATATATATATGAATAAACTATATTTCAGTTACAAAAGCTTTATTTGAGAGTAATTTTTATTTTGATCTACAAACGTCTTGTACAGCAAAGGTCAAAGTTTATTAAGACTACCTTTTGGCCCCTTGAATTCGAAAATCAAATAAATATTATTCATCAGTTCTGATCAATTATATTTTGATTTTGTTAAACGGTGTTGTGACCTTTCATGAATCAGAGACAACAGTAATTTACTGATGATCAATATCATAAATCCATTGAAAAGATACAAATCAAGGTAAAAACAAAAACTGAAGGAATTGCAAAAAGAATTTCAAAAAGAGGCTATACCGGACGCGACGACATGATAATCTATGGATACACCAGCCGTCTTACGAATCCACACTCTGTCAAAATGTCAAAATCGGGAATGGACACAGTTATTTAAGTTACCGATCAGACGACTATTCTGATATCTAACGATCTAAGACCACGAACTAGTCGCTAATGAGTTTAGTTACAGACATATCGTATTGGTCAACTAATTAGTGATGGTGACAGTAAAACTTTTGTTGTGTCGATATCAGTCGTTTTTCCGCATAACTCTGATTGAACAGGTTTTGTTTCAGAAGCACACCCTTGATAATGAAGACCGCATAATGTTAACACGAGTGTAAACGTAACGAGTTCCAAGTGGTGAAGTTGGAATCTTCCCTTCGAAAATTTTACAGACGCCATCACGAGTTGGTTGACCGTTATGGTATAGAACCCGGTCAGAAAGAGCATACAAGAAAGTAGTACATATTTTAAACAAAATGGTTCCTACCAAGCTACACCTTTGTTAATAAGTAAAATACTTGGATAGTTGTTGTATCAAATGAAAGCTTAAGGACTTGGGATCACTGTAGAACCCTTGAAAGTTTCTTTTCAATAATAAAAAAATATATGTGAAATTATGATAGGAGGGCACATTTGGCCTATTGTGCAGATCAGAAGTACCGGTTTTTGTACTACCAAACTTCCGGGAACCAATGTGCTCTAATATGCAATTAAAGTTATGTTGTGTTTTTCAGCACAATAAACTCATCATAGATACCAGGATTGGAATTTTATATTTACGCCAGACGCGCGTTTCGTCTACAAAAGACTCATAAGTGACGCTCGAATAAAAAATGTTAAAAAGGCCAAATATAGTACGAAGTTGAAGAGCATTGAGGACCAAAAATTCCCAAAAGTCTTGCCAAATACAGCCAAGGCAATCTATTCCTAAGGTAGAAAAGCCTTAGTATTTCAAAAGCCCAAAGTTTTGTTAACAGTTAATTTTATAATTAAGACCACAAGTCAGGATAAGGTATAGTTTTGATATGAAATGACTGCCAATTTATTTGAACTTACTACAAAGTAGCCATTAATGCTTGAAATTGCAGAATTGAACATAGAAAGCAATGGGGCTATGAATGAGTGGTTTTATGCCTTATGAAATATCTGTTTCACAGGTGATGACGGATATCTTCCAGTTGTCGTAACCACAATCCGTCGTCTTTTCCTCGAATGTGACCTACCGAATACGACTTATCATCGGGTTTGTACTAACATAAGCAACACGATGGGTGCCACCTGTGGAGCAGGATCTGCTTACCCTTCCAGAGCACATGTGATTACTCGCAGTTTTTGGTGGGGTTCGTGTTGTTCAATGTTTTTTTTATGTTGTGTTTAGCATACTGTTGTTTGTCTTTTAATCGTTTTACTTCTTTAGCCATGGCATTGTCAGTGTGTTTACAGCTTACGAGTTTGAATATTCTGTTGGTATATTCCGTCTCTCTTGTATTAATTAAGATAAAATGAATGGTTACGCCATGCGTTCTGACAGAGTGTATGTTACTGGTGAGAAATGGGAAGTTGAAATCATCGCGTGTAACTAGATTGTATTTTGAAGTCGTTCATATGTGTCAAAATCGAAGACAAGATCAAGATATGATGGAAAACCTTCTAGTTTCGGTATACTCCTTAATACCAGTTCACTGGGATATAATGAATGCAAGCACTCTCTATAATGCTGGTTGTTGAGGGGCAGGAGTTCATCAACATATGTGAAGGGAAATTAAAGAACTTTGCAAGATTTATTTTTGTCTGAATTCTGCTTCATATGATTACATGAACAAGTCGTTCACAATTCACACTAACTCTCTGCTGGAATTTCAATACACCAATCCACCAATTTCAAAAAATTATATTGTCGACCAGAGAGAAGTTCAAAATACTAGTAGGTATTTAATGTTTTCAATTATTCCGAATGCAGCTGTGTATTTATACAATACAAAAAGCCAAATGAATACATCTTAGAAAAACTAGTTGTTAGGGCTTTGTGTGTGGAAGAAGTCTGGCATACTCCTATGAAATTATTGAATTTATTTTTCACAATATGTTCGGACTCGGCTGCATATTTGTCCATCTGGCATAGTCACACCAACAGTAGTTTAAAATGCAGACTAAAAGCTAGAATTTTCATTTTGCAATAACATTCTTCCAATCTATTATTGCAGCACCATATAAAGTGGATAAAAAAATAAGCAAGAAAACGTTACAAACGAAATGGCACACATGCAACAATATCATCGTATTCATCTCATAACATCCAAAGACAGCCACACCAATTATAATGCGGAAAAAAATGAAAACGAAGAATATCGGAAGTCATAGATTTTCAGTTAATTCAAATACCCCAAAAATAAATCTTTCATATTAACACATTGTGTAGGGAGTTTCATAACCAGCTTGAAGTAAAGCCTCAATAACACATCATGTTCCAAAACATGAAAATCGGTATCGAAAAATAAAACAAAGCTACAAAAGAGCAAAGTCATTCTTGTTTGAACTTTTCGCAAACTCGCGTGTTCTGATATGATATTAACAGTTTCTTCTTTACATGTAGTATGCTGACTTTCGAAACTTCAGTATGATAACCGCGAATGAATACACCACTAAATTGACATAAAACGTCACTATTGGCACTCATTTATTGTACAATATACACGTATGATACTGGTATTCATGGTGTTGATCAAGTACACTCAGGGTCAAAATTGTGAAAAGCAAAACAAAAAAATAAAATGACTGATAGTACAAAATAAAGAAAAATAACAAAAATACCGAACTCCTGGGAAAATTCAAAACGGAAAGTTCATTATCAAATGACAAATTCAAAAGCTCAAACACATCAAACGAATGGAAAACAACTTCAATTCTTCTTCCAGAAAGCGGCCACCGTCAACTGGTCGACTACCCTGCCACATTTTTGGAGTGCGCGAATGAAAACAATTTTAGATTTAATTAGATTTAATAACAAAAACAAAAACTGGGTGAAATTTATATACAGGTGCAAATAAAAACATGCCATTTAATTTACTGAAGGAGCTGAGCCTTGAAAGATTCAGGACTCGAGGCAGACACCTTACAGTTGGGCAAGGTGTTCCACTCTCTGATTGTTCTAGGATAGAACGACTTCTTCCGAACTGTTGTTTTGCATGATGGTGTTCTGAAGGCTTTTTCGTTGTTATTTCTGGAAGGACGTTCATTTGGTATCAGCTTATTTGATGTATCGATCTTCACATAGTTGTTATTAAGCTTATACATCATTATCAGTCTGCTCTGTTTTCTTCGTTCTTGTAGGGTAGTCCATTCTAGATGTTCAAGCATGTTACTAACAGATGACGTGTTGTGATATCTGTAAGTAACATACCTTGCTGCCTTTCTTTGAACCATTTCCAATCTATGAATATCATTTGGTTGGTACGGGTCCCATACTGCACTGGCATATTCCAAAGGGACACATATGCTTTTTACTTTATAGACTTATTGGAGAAGTTTAAGTTCCTTTTCAGAAAACTGATGGTATTATTTGCTTTGGAACAGATGGTGTTTATATGTTTACCCCATTTTAGATCTGATGCAATGGTACATCCCAGGTATTTCGCTGATGTGACGTGTTCAAGGTTATGTCCATGTAGTGTGTAACTGTATTTAGCTGGATTTTGCTTCTTGGAGATGGTGAGTACGTTACATTTATGAGGATGGAACTTCATGAGCCATTTCGATTCCCATTCAGCTAGTTTGTCAAGGTCCCTTTGAAGGTTTGCTGAATCTGCATCGGATGAGATTGTGACATAGGCAATAGTGTCATCAGCAAACAGTCGTACAGTTGATTGAATCCCTTGGGGCATGTCGTTTATATAAAACAGAAATAGACTAGGTCCCAGGACAGATCCTTGTGGTACACCGGACTCTACATGTATGGAAGTTGACGTTTCTCCCTCCACCACTACTGACTGTGTTCCATCACTGAGGAAGTTCTTTATCCACTCATTTTGTTTACCTGTTATCAAATAATGATTCAATTAGGCCTGGTTTTATAGCTAGCTAAACTTCTCACTTGTATGACAGTCGTATAGAATTCCATTATATTGACAACAATGTGTGAGCAGAATCCTTTCAATGCCACAGCAATTCTATGTTTTGCCAAGGCAGATTTAGGCATTAAAATTGCAACTGTACCGCTTATGACGTCGACAATGAGGGAACGTCACGGAGAGGGGCACAGATGGAGGTTTCTACAGAATGGACTGTGATTTGGGGTTTTCAACGTGTTAGTCTCTAGCGCAGCTGACAAAAATAGAAGTCCTACGTATTTGAGGGGTTCAATAGTGATTCGAAGCGCTAAATTATGAATATGTTTTCAAATGGAAATCACCAAATAAAAGTTTATTAGTTAGATTTAAATTATTATGTTTGTCTCATTGAAATTGATCCTATTTTAAAATGAATAAGTTTTCATTGCATATTTCTGGATAATTGTAGAAGTATGTTGATTTTGAACGTGTATCATTAGGACTCAGTAATCTATGATTAGTGTTTGGGGTTCTGAAAATAAATGAAATTCATGTATATAAACTGAGATAAAAACCGAATATTTTATTTATTTCTATTCTTCACAATTATGTCTATGGAAACACGTTCCGTGAAGACCTTTGTTGCATCTGGCGCATTTAGTACTTGCCCTACGGCGTTGATTAAATCTAGAGCAAACTTTACAATTCTTTTGTTTCCCTCTTACTAGTTTCTCGATCCTCTGCGGTTGGTGTGCGGCTTGTGCATTTCTATCCCTATGTTGTCTGTGTTCTATTTGTTCAGTTGCGAGGGCGTCAATAACCGATTGAATAAACTCTAACCTTGAAAGTAATTTTCCGTCAGTGTTTTTTGTTTATAGTATGTAAGCGTTTAGTACCATTCGGTGAAAAATGTTGATTGCAAGCCTTTTCCACATTGTTTTTGTTTTTCTCTTATCATCATATATGCCACTCATCATATCATTTAAGTCAACTCCACCCATGTTTTTGCTGTAAATGGAGGATACAACTGGTTTATGTCCGTGTGCCGGTGCAGAAGCTTTTACAGCAGATGTGACGAAGCGGACCGTTTTGCGGTTTTGCCTTTCTTTATAGGCAACGCACATGAGTTCTCTTTGGCGAATAAATAGAGACTCGTTCTCCCGCAGCTGAGGGTTCCGGAGTAACTGCGGCATTTGACGGTTCGCACGGAGGGTTCCGGTAAAATAAGTTCTGAGCGTTCTTAGGTGCCTTACAAGCGGAATAGATGTGAAAAAATTATCACAGAAGATGTGATAATTCTTGTTTAATAAGTTGGCTTCTGTCATTAATTTTTTTACTATATGACTTCCTTGTGTATCATCAGCCGGTACGGGGTCATAACGCTTTCCGCGGTAAGGTAAAAAATGAATTATATATCCTGATGTAGCTTCCACGAGCATCCATAACTTAATTCCAAATTTGTGGGCTTTAGTCGGTATGTACTGTGTCATAACAGTTCTAGCCTTTGTTCCGACAAGAGATTCATCGATAGACAGTTCTCTGTTGGGTGTATAGTATCGTTTAGATTGCATGTTTGCGTGATCAACAAGGGGTTTAAACCAGGCAGCAGGATTATAGTGCTCGGAGTTCCTCTGTGGCGTTTTGCGGTTGTCAACTAGATGAAAAAAACGGAGAATCAATTGGAAGCGATTCCTAGAAAATATTTTCCTAAACCATATTGTTGACTGACTACTTCTCTTTACCCAATACATTGCGATAGTTGGTTTCCTAATAATACCCATATTGAAAATTGTTGCCAAAAATCCTTTCAGTTCTGTAAGTGTTAGTTTGCCGAATTTTGTCCACAACCTAAGACGGGAGGAAGCATGGTAAGTATTCTCTCTTATCTTTTTCTGTATTACCTGATTCGCATACCTACAAAACATGACTAGTTTATTCCAAATGCACAGGCAATGACTGGTGCTCAAATCTTGAATATGATATAAATATTTAAGTACACATATTTTGCAATCTAATAAAAAAAGAAAATACTTTAATTGCTTTTGTTCTGATACGTCGCGCGAATAAAAGCTTAAAGTTATTTAATTTTAATTAGGCTTAATTGCGTATTTTAAGTACTTTTTCTCGACAGCGTTCAGGGTTTTACAATTTTGTAATTCACAGAAAAAAAAAAAAATATGAATGCACAAAGGTAATCATTTAAGTAAATGCACAAAATCTACATTTAAAGAGATTGACAGCAAGATTTGTTTACAAGTTTGACTTCATATGCACTGAGCTGACTTTTTGTCATTATAGATTGACCCAGTAGAAATTGATATAAATAATTTCCAAAATACGATCGGTTACAAATTTAATAGTAGATGGATAATACTTTGCGCATGATCCTTCATGCCGGACCAGTTCAACGGACCTCGCCGTGGCGGACATTCACGTTTTTCTTCTTTTATTTCGCCGGTAGATTTATATGGTCAATTTGAAATTATTTAATTGAATAATACGGGTATAAAATATTAAAATGTATTTTTTTAAATGTCAGATGTGTTGAAGTTTATACATGTAGTTACCTGTTTGTTTCTTTGACTACTTTCTTGAGAAGACTGATGCTAAACATTAAGTAAAAATAGGCTACAGGCTCGGAAGTTCGTCTAGGCATGTTTTTTGTTCTTAGTCCTCAATTGGTCTAGGTCTTCATCTGGTTCTGGTGGTGATTCTGAACCAAGCGTTTGCTGCCATTTTTGTTCGGTGCTGCCTATAGTTATGACGTCCTATTTTATGATAACGTCATAATCAGATGACGGCAAAAGTGGCAAGTCTTGCCAATGCAATAAACAATGATATTCCTGCATTGCAATTGCATATGTACCCCGTGTAGAGCCTCTTTGTTTGCCTCTTTTCAACTATGACGTAAAGTGCATTGTTACAGAACAGACGAAATAGGCAACCGTTGCCAAGCCTAAATAAAGACCGTTGGCATTTGAAAGGAGTACAGAAAGCCTAACAGTCGGAAAGCAAGCCCTTAGAAACGACCGTTGTTGCTACTTTCTTAAGACAACAATGGGACTGATAGTAAAACCCGCCATTCTGAAATTGCGTTAATTTCGCGCAAAAAATAATTTGGCGCCAATTTGGAATTTTTTCTTTTTTCTGTTTCTTACTTGTCATTAGGGTCAGAAATAGATTTCTTTCGATTTTTCAAGCATGGTTCTTATTATCAAAGAAAATAATACTTAAACATGTTATAAATTGTCCGTCTTTTAAAAATAACGTAATTCCTTTGATCGTCGTTTAAGAATTATGCGAAATTGTCTGTTATTTTTTTCTTCTTTTTTTTTCCAGATAAACAAAGAATATACAAACTATATAAAAAATAATAATAAGTATCTCAAAGTTAAAACAAAAATCAAGTCTAACGTTCTATCACCCCTTAGGAAACCCCGTTCGAACTAAATTCCAAACGAAGGACATTTTTTGACGTTGTAGTTTTTTATCTTACACATCGATGTCAACTTGCATCTTTACACAATGTACACACATTTAGTATGTTTGTTTGAAAAAGCAATGGCGAGTTCAGCTGTGAATATTTGACTGGATTAATTATTCTCTTTAAGTCAGTGAATTGTTTGACTTAACTAAAACAAGGTAAGGAAATCGTATAGTATACTGTCTTTACACAACCTTAACCAAAACTAATTCATTGTTTATAATATTATAAAAAAAATTGTGATGATCAAGTAATCCTGCAAAACTGCCAAAGGTAAATGAAAAAGTCTTGTCCTAAATATGAACTTAAAACAATCTCTTTCAGACTAGCATTTTAATCACCCTTATTCAAAGCATGTTCATACTGACATGAAGTGTGACTTACTTATGACTTGTGATCTAAAACATAATCATATTGTTGACTTAGCACTCAGAATCTGCTCTGAAATACTTTATTATAAATATAAAAATGCATAATTGTTAAAAAAAATTAAATAGAAGAAGAAAAATATTAGACCCAGTCTTTTTTGTTCTTATCTATTTTCAAGTTCATGATTAGAACCATTTATTTATTGGTTTAGTGTTTTTTTTTATAATTTGAGTCCATTCATTAGAATCTGCATGGAATCAGTGAGACAAAATTCTTGTTATATTTAGTTTGTTCATACAAGAATTGCAAACTAATTTCCTTTTATTTCAAATAATGAAGAACTTACATTCAGAATACTTTCATTATGGTCTCGTTTAAGTTTAAATGAAAAAGGTAGGATCAGGTATCAGTAATGAAAAGGAGTTCCTGTATTTAATCATTTTAATCCTGTCTTGATCCATTATTCATGAATATTTTGGCTACCCCTTGTATGATTAAAGTAAAAATTTATTTCTGTGTTGAAATAATTTGGTTACAGCAGTATAAATACTTACCAAAATACACGATATAATTATTAAATTAACTCTTGGAATAATAATATTATGGCACATACTGACATAGGGCCTATTTGAGTATTTCACTGAGACTGAGTTCTGAAAAGTGATAAAATGTGTTTCGCTATTTTTTTTGCACATGTCTTTAGTATCAAAATATATTCAATAAAATTATTTTTATAATATCCTCATGTAAATAACAGCATATGGTGCTTAATATAATAATAGTTTGATCCTGAGAGTGTCAAACAAAGGGACGTAACTCGTAAATTACTATCGGCCCCGCTTCGTCAGAAATATCGACACATCGAAGTGGCACATTTGCGTATTACAGCGTATTAAGTGGCACAAATTTGACATATCATAGTCAAAGTTATGTTACATAACATAATTTAAATTCAGCATAGCTTCCCGAGAAGTTAAGAAAGAAAATTACGATTTTAATTTCCAGTGACCGATTTTTTTGGTCAACACCTAGACTTTGAGGACACATTTTGAGAGAAAAAATTAGTTTAATCCATAATTGAGTGGATCAATATATTTCTTATATACTCAAGAATGTTCACTTAAAAGCAAATTAGTTTTAATTCATGCAAAAAACTACAAATTCCAAAAACCGGGCTTCACTTTTTTTGGTAAAAAAATGCCCATATATGGTAATCACATGACTTCCATTGTTGCTTTAAGAAATGGGGTCAAACCGGGGTCAGCTTTCCGACTGTAAATATAGGCTCTGCGGCATAGTAAGGGTTAACGCTAAGAAGGCGAACACTATTTTTAGAATGTTTTTTACAGTGAACATTAAATAATACATGTAAAGGGAATTATTAAAATTGTCTCCCCTTTCCTAAACGTTTGAGTGTTCATGTCGGATGAAGTTAAATAAAAAATTGGTGCAATGAAAAAGACTGAAAATAATATAGGATTAAACACATTTTTTCTAGAAGTTATTGATGTGTAAACTGGGACAATTAACTAAAAAACTGAATAAAAAGTTCGAAGGACTTTTCTGTAAGGTTTGTTAATCCTTATAATTCTAAACCCAAACATTTGCATTTTTTAACTAACAATGTTTTGTTCATTGGCTTCTAATCACCATCAAATGGAAAATTGACATGTCGTGACTCAGGAGTAAGCCTCCATATTGAATGAAATCCATAAATGTTCGATAAATGCAATACAATCTAAAATTAAATCCCACCTACCTCAAAACTTCATTTTGATAACATATTATCCGAATTTGAAGCGCGTACAAATAACGAAATAACCGTCAGTTTGAAAGTTTTCATGTGTATGACGTCATGTTTTCTCATGACGTTAATGCGCCAATATAATTTATGAAATTTCGCGAAATTTATTTTATTTTAAAGCTATACATTTTCCAAGCTTAAATACATATTTTCTTTTTGGTATGCATTGGAATAGAAATAACAGTTACTTTTTCTATCTCAATTTGCTTGGAACCCCTGGATCGCTTGCATGGGTATCGCGCATGAATAGATCACAGTGAAGGTTACGATAGTAGTTTTGGCAACATTGTCTATCGAAGCGTAAACTAAAGGAACATATTCTAACGGACCAATCCGATTTGAAGATATGCAAATCATATAAAGATTATCACGTTGTAAAGTTCGTGCGTTAAACATAGAACATAGATTATTCTGTACGTTGCATTTAGATTTAGCATGCACAAACTTTACTTAAAAAGTAATTGATTTAGTTCAAGCAGTTAACACCGAATACATCACAAATAATTCAAAATCACTTTTGTGTACCTAAGCGCAATATTGTATCAGATATAAAAATATATTAAACTAGTAAGTTGAGATTCAAGTAGGAATAAAATAGGAACAGTTTCAAACAAACTGATAACACTTCTTCATCACTATCTAGTGTTAATAAGCATTCTTTGGTTTTTTCCTGCTTTGATGTTCTTACATGAAATTTAGATAGGGTCTATACTTCATAGCATGATTTCCTTGATATAGAATAGCTGCATATACATTGACGCAATTAAATACATAATTTGAAATAATAGGTTTATGTCACGTGTTATTGTCTAAGTTTTGTATGTAGTGTTTAGTGGACTTGTTTGTCATGGGGTTTTCAATTTATCTTCGACCTACGCCAAATAGATTTTTAAATCGTTATAGTATATCTGTGTCACAGATGACCACAGTTTATCTCAATTGTCGTAACCACAATCCTGTCCTCTTTTTTCTCGATGGTGATATCACCAATGGCGACTAATCACATAATTGTTTACTTGCAATGAGTAACAAGACGGGTTACCTAGTGGATAAAGTACTGCTTATCCTTCCTGAGAAACAGTGTTTACCCTAGCATTGTAGCAAAGGGGTTCGTGGTGTTTTAGCTTTAGTTTACATTGTTGTATTTTGTGCCGTTTTATTTATGATTGTCTGTAAAGGAACTCATCATAGATACCAGGATTACAATTTTGTACGCCAGACGCGCGTTTCGTCTGCAAAAGACTCGTCAGTGACGCTTGAATCAAAATGTTAAAAATTCCAAATAATGTAAGAAGTTGAAGAGCATTGACAACTGTGTTGCTTCTATCAGTAACTGTTTTATATATCAATTATTCTGGAAAAACCGTGTTTTCATTTCAAAGTTTCACATTCTTTCATGTAAAAGGATCATACAAGTATAATATATCTCACAGATGGTTTATGAGTGTAGTGATTTCTAAGGTCTAGCTAAAATTCATTTATCAATGCGCTCGTCTTATGCCTTATCGCCGGATGTATGACTCGTCGGCTTATTGTAACACGAGTAATACGACAATTTACACAAGCAAGGAGAGCAGAAACGAATGACTCTTCCGGAGCACATGAATTAGCACTATGTTTTTGGTGAGGATGGTGTTGCTCAATCGTTAGTTTTCTGGTGTTGTGTTTTGTGGACTGTTGTTTGTCTTTTCGTCGTTTTTTCTTTTTGTTCATGGTGCTGTCTGATTTCTCTCCGACCTCTTCTCGCTTTTGCCTTTACAATGTATACTTCCACTTCAACCACTGAAAGACATCCCAAACCTCTTTCAAATCATAAAATAGAACTCAGAATTAAATCAAAGCATCGTCGGTGCCGTGATTCAGCCAACTTTTTGTTTTAGCAAATTGAATATTTTTCTTAATACCAACTCCTGGCAGACAATTCAAGACAACCAACTATCTGAACTTGGGATAAGTGATTTTTGCCCAAAATGTAAATTTTTGTTCAGAAACAATTCTATATTTTTTTAGAGAGACGATACAATACGTAGAACATCTTTTAAAAATTATTTCACTAAAACATTACCAGAATTATTTTCCTTTTTAAAATCACTCCTTTCAGCTCAGGAAAGTCAGAGAAAAAGTGTACTTCTTCTAAGGTTGTTCTGATAAAGTCACCGAAATCACTAAAGAAAAGACTGGAAGGGTTCAGTGCATAATTTCAAATCATATTCTCAGGTATGGTGTTGAACACAAAAAAATGATATATCACTATTGCATTCAGTTTGAGAGGATTTATTATCTTTTTTTTTTTGATAAATCAATCTACCCTATGGGCAGTGTGAATCAAAGCTCTGTTACAGCACATATATATATATAATCACGTCGCTTTCCTTGTTTAACACTAGTAGTTTAACTGACTTCAATCTCATTACACAAATAGTCCCAATTCTTCAAATAAAGATTGAACGATTTAGTCCAATTTTGTTTCACGAAAAAAAGAAATGCAAACTAAGATAAATATATCTTGTTTTAGAAAGGGTAAATCAAACTGTCAAAAAACATTATTTCAACAAAGCCCTCTGAAAAGGGCCTTATCAAAATGCTTGGTTTTTAAATGAACAAGTATGTTGGGCGACCTGGTTTTCAAGAGTCTGAAAACATTCCTAAGACAACCAATTGTGCTACTCTCCTAACCAGTTTGTTCCTTTTTTTGTAAAAGACAGATTTATGTAGGTGCTTCTCATGGAGAATGAAAGGAATTATAGTTAACGTCCCACTACAGAAATAATTTCCTTTGTCTGGTTCGTTCAGTTTGGTGACTAAGTTGATCGCATCTTCACCTTCATATTTGACTTGGTCTTCCAATCGTTATTATTCAAGTGTCACTGATGAGTCTTTATGTAGATGGGACGTGTTTCTGGCGTGCCAAATTATAAGCCTGGTATCTTTGATGAGTGTCCATCACATCTTACTTTAAATACAGGATACTACAGATACAGTTAAGTAAATACATTCACTAAGACCTTAAAATTGACAAGGAGGGATGTTTGAAAGTTATCTTTATGACAGAGATAATTACGATTTACCAATTATGAATGTTTCATTTCAATGTAGAAACATTCCAGTAGTACCTGCATATGGAGTATATATCTCCCAGTTAATATGATATTCCAGGGCTTGTATTACCTATCATCTCTCCACATATTTTGTGATAGTTTGGTAGAATATCTGTCATGAGTTTCAATGGATCGTAGCCACAATATTGTCCTCTTTTCTGTGATTGTGATAGCTTCTAATAAGAAACTTACTCCCCATAAACAACATGACAGCTACAATTAGAGTAGCAGCTTAAAAGAACCTTACGTCAAACCTAGGTTTTGTTTAAAGCAGTCACAGTACTTTTTTGCCTTAGTTTTCTGACTTTTTTTTTGAATGTCTGTGTTGTTTCCATCAGTATCAATTTTGTCTATCTCAAGTCCTAAAAAACTGGGAAGGATATTAAAAAATGTCTCAACTGAGCTTAACTTGATACAGTTTTATCTGGGACTTGGTCTGATGCATCATGTTTAAATAACAATGCTATATGTACGATTAAACCTTTGCATTAGATTTTTTCTTCATGAATAATGCAGCATATGAAATAAGTAATTTTCAACAAAAATTATTTGATGACATTTTAGTTTTATAATATATTTGAACTTGTCTAACTATGCTTAATACTTCTTCAAAATAATGCCAGGTCATATTCAATACACATAAGGGGACACTAATAACAAAACTAAATTCAATATTGACGAAAACTAAAAACAAATATATATTCATTTCGTGATTTTATTATAGACCTGTGATTTTAAATCTTTTTACATATTTCACAATAACCTGTTTCAGAAGTCATGAATTATCATCACAACTATTTATGGCATTGAATGCAAAGCACTCAGATATGTAACTGGAACGAAATACAAAAGTGACATAATTTTCCAGCTTGCCATTAATTTGACAATAATATAACAAATTTCATCTGATATATGGTTATAATTTTTTCGTATGAAGATTGATGCAGGTTTTCCAATTTCAATTATAAATCATTTTTCTGAACTGTTTGTATTCCTTTATAAAATGATCTGTTGAACACATAAAAAACATTGAAGAAAGGATCAAAGCTTCAGTAAATTTTAAATCTAGAAATCAATTTACATGTATATAATACACAAATATATAGCATTAAAAGAAATAAGCAAAAAAACATGGCAGTATTCCTTCCATGTAAAAAAGTACAAAACAAGCACAGCAACATACAATAAATACAAATACTACACATACTATAATAATATTATAAACACAGATCTTGGATAAATTAAAGTGGACGGCAACTATTGACATTGAAAGTATGTTGACATAAGGAATGATATGATAATCAAGAGAAAGTGAAAAACAACTAAAAGACAAACAACGTCCTACCATTCAACTATTCAGTTGTTTAAAAGTTTCCAATAAAAACTGTTTCAATTTATTTGTCAGACATATGTCCATCAGTATTGGCTGGGTATGATCACATCATCTTCCGTTAAAAAGACTAAGCTGGCATAAACAAGAGGTTTTCCTTTCTAATTTGCAATTTGTGGAATCTTATAGAATAGTTATCAAAGGTACCAGGCTTATAATTTGAAACGCCAGACGCGCGTTTGGTCTACAAAACACTCATCAGTGACGCTCAGATCAAAATATTTAGAAATCCAAAACAAGTACAAAGTTGAAGAGCATTGAGGACCCAAAATTCCAAAAAGTTGTGTCAAATAATAATAATTATAGAAATTATTGCTAAACTTGGCAATTGAAAGGAAAATTAAGGGCTAAATGTTATCTGATCCTGAAAAGTTGTGTGAAAGTCTAGATAGGGATTTTGCATCATTAACGCAAAAAAAAAAGGAGAAAAAAAAAGGGGGTTAACGTTTACTTTCATAACACTTCAACATAAAATGTGTATAAACTCTTTCAAGAGTTTAATATAGCAAAAATACTTATTAATAGACAATGCTGGATCTCAATTAATAAAAAAGTTCATATATTAATTGGACGGAGAAGTGAAAATATTTCTTATCTCAAAAAAAAAACAAAATGATAAATACAAATACACTCAATCTATTATCACAACCCAAATAATAATATATCACAATTCTCCCTAGAAATTTCTCTGTTCAATCAAAGATGTAAAATATTACAACAATTTATGAATCTATACAAATTTTGTGGATAAGGGGACATAATTGAAAACTGTGACAATATTTTTGAATGTATAAATTGTTAACAAATGCAAAAAGAGTAATTCAAAACAAAAAGAGAATATGGAATGTAATTTTCTGTTATTTTCATTTAATTCCAAATACTAACTTATCTATATAAGTTTCACTGTATACTAGCTAATCATTGAAATAATATTTATATAGGTTTCACTGTATACTAGCTAGTCATTGGGGAAATAATATTTCAATCACCAGATTCTAAATTATGTAGAACCTTAATTATGCTTTTAATTATAATTAAAATCCACTTTTCATGGATGTCTCATGCTACCATATTGATACTTGGTATTTGTTTTTACAAAATGTGCTGTAACAATCAAAATTAGATCTGGTTATTTGATCTGTTTGATTATCTACAGAAATCATGTAGCTCTAAACAACTTGCTAAAAATATCTATTTCTTTTTGTTTTTTTTTTTGTCATTGAAAAAATAGCCTAAGAAATGGCTTTTAAAATAAACAGAAATGTTAATTGTATTTATTATCAGACATTCATCTTTCTTTTGTTCCATTGAGGAACAAATTACTATGTCAAATATGTAACCATGTCTCAGGTTTATAACTATGAAATAAGTTTCCTTAGTGTCAAATAAACAAAGATGTGCATGAATATACAACAAAATATGTGTGATGTACAACAACAAAATATGTGTGATGTACAACAAAATATGTGTGATGTACAACTCTCTCACAATTCACAATCATATATACTTATATAAACAGGCAACTCAAAAGTTTTCTCTTCACAAATAAAAGCAGTACACACATGAATGGAATTCCTATTTATAAATGTATTTATACTGTTGTATGAGCTGTAAAGATGCTTCTTATCACAGTTAGAATTATTCAGTCTTTTCATGGTCTTCATTCATTGTCTGTAATGGAAAAATAAAATACAATAACTCATAAACAAGAGAAAATAAAAGAACAGAAAAGGATTTTTCAACAGGGTATTTGAAAACTTTCTCTAGATTGTTTACCTGAGTGCTAAGGAACGTCATTTTTGTAATTCACTTAGAAGATCAACATTAAAATCAATGAAAAAAGAAGATTAGTACTTCCCAAAACATATCTTTTTGTGATATATAAGAGAATTTATGAAATACATAGCCATGGTAATATTTCACCAAAAAGAATAATGTATATATACTCTAACAACTTTTATTATAATTTCTCATTTATTAGAATATCTGTTATTCATGCTATACTTTAATTTATTACTATATCAATAAACTCAATGTTATATCAAAAAGGTCAAACAAAATATCACCAACAGTTAGTCAATGAGGTAAAATGGCAATTGTTTGTATATCTGTTGAACAAGGGCAGGGATGTGTAACAATATTAATTTTCAATCATTTTAATTGGCTCTGCCTCAGAGCTAATTTATAAATTCATTGCTAATGGTTATTTTAATATCATTCTCATTGAGATGATAATAATAGATTTTAAACTACAGCTTATAATCAGAAATAATATTCTTAACTTTATGAAAAAAAGAATATATATGGAATATATAAATGCATTAACATACTGTTGTCAAGCACAAAACAAAAATATAAGTGTTAAAAACTATAATATTCCCATTGAAGTTACAAATGTCCACAACCTAATGAATCAAACGAGATGTCTGAGTGATATACATGTAAATACTTAGGTATTTCATTTCATATTATTTTATATCAAAAGGCATTAACAACGTTATCTTTTGTAAATAAAATAACCTATTATAGAATGTAACAGAAAATAAATGTATGAGAAATTGGAATGTGTGTAAACTGGTGAAGTGGGATAAATAGTAATTAAAGTCGTTTTGTGATAAAAGTAACAAAATCAATCGTTCGTATGAGCAGGCAAAAATACTGATAAAAACCACAATTATACATTAAAAAAAAATAAGTATTAATTCATGTTATTTAAATTAAAATGTTAGTGAATGTTGTTTTAATTTTATTATCTACATATCAAGAGAATTAGAAGCTTTCATCAGTGATTTAAAAAAAAGAGAATCTTTTCTACACGATTGAACAATTTCTGATGGAGTTATTGGACTTTGACCATCTTCAGCCTATTGCGGCATGCTAACCCTTTACTCAGTCACTGGTACATTTGGCTATGTCATAGCAGTCTTGTTTTTATGTCATTTACAGGTTTTGTAATTATCTTGTGTAGAAATTCCAAAAGGAAACAAACTTTACATTATTGTTTTATATAAACCACTATTAAGAAGTTTTAACTGTAAGCAGAAGTATAATTTGAAAGCTAACGTATAGTTTATAAATCTAGATTCTGACAAAATTCATCTTAAATAGTTTATCAGAGACTAAATAAAAAGTGAATTCATTAAATTCACTTTGTACTGTCCAAAATGTGCATCACTGCAGACAATATTTTAGTGTATGGTTACAGGAAGCAAACACAAATAAAAACATTTACTGTGGTTCCATTTTCTGTCTCTGTCCTGCAGAAACAAATAATAATGATTTTTATTCTACGTTCTCCAAATTGTCTTTACGACTGAAGAATTAAGAATTTAAATTTAATGGTAAAAGTTCTGCTTAAAAAAGAGTTTGGATGTACAAGCAAGTTGGGAGAGAACTTCATAGATTGGCCCGGGTCAATCCTTATAAAGGTTACATTGATGGTTAATGCTGACATTTTACCTTTTCACTCCAAACATTGTCTATTTTTGGGCCCCCCGGGCAACCCCTTTTTCGAATCCTTGATTCACATCTCACTCTGAATTTGTTCGCTCATTTGCTCTTTGGTCTATAAATAGCTGTCTATACATCTCCTTAATTCAAGATAATAGTCCCACAAAAAATGTCGAAAATGTGTATATTTCATTTTTTTTCTAGCTTCTCTCATGCCAAGTCGGTACCCTTTTGGTCACTATTTATAGGTTGCGTCTAAATATGAATTGTAACACTAAATAGTGACTGAGCAGGTTGAACAAATTCTTCTCAAGAAACAGAAATAAAAGAAACTTAGAACAGCACCAGACTGTTTATAAATAAAAACTCAGATCAGAAAAGGTATCAATAATATTGCAGATAACACAAATTTTTTAAGTTTATCGGACTTTTTCGTACATTTTCTGTTCAAATTTTCACACAATAGTTCAAAAAACCTAAAGTAACTATACTGAAACAATAACAAGTGTTTCATTCACCAAACAATTTGTGCGTTTCTGTGAAAAATATCACACACGATTTTGTGAATGAAAGGGAAAGTAGATCCTTATGCAGTGCCAAGACGGACGGACGGACGGACAGGGGTAAAACAATATGCCCCCAACTTTCAGTTGAGGGGGCATAAAAATAAACAAAAAGAAGATTAGACTAAATACATATACATGTTATACTGTGTAAGGAGAAAAATAAAGATAACAGATTATAGATATTATGTTTGAATAAGAAAAAAAAATATTAGCTTATAGGAAAGTCTGGAATTAAGGGAGAGAGGATGCATGAATGCCTCCTACATTCTAAAGCAAAGAAAAATCCATCACCCAAGAAGAAAGAAAAAATAAATAGAAGAAGAACAAAGACAAAAAATAAACATACTGGAATTTCTTCAATCTTTAAATATTTGAAAACATCAAATCTATACGAGGGACTTATGATTTTCTATCATTTAAACAAAGTTTTTTTACTTCATCCTACTTAATCATGACAAGAATAATAGAAGTACATCCTTGTTAAAAATACCTGGATTCCACTTATGGTATGATATATATCTTAACAAAACAAAAGTTTGATAGAATAAATCTTTTTGCCATAATAAACTTTTCCAGATCAAGATATATATGAATCATTTCAATGATGTAAAATTTAATCAACCTTCTGTTATTACATATCAAGTTTAACAATTAACCCTTAGACTGCTACGCGCGACTATTGTCGTTCCGATAAAGCAGTCCGCTACTGCTACGCCCGACTATTGTCGTTTCCGTATCTCATTTGTTTACACAGTTACCATGGAATGGGCGGAGTCAATATTCACGAGATTGCGGCAGTTTAGACTTGTATGGATTCTGATTGGTTAAAATTCGGCGTACTTTCAAGTTTCTCTTGACTTTAAATCAGGTATAAGCGATGAAACCGAAAGTGAAAAATTTAGATGAAAAAAGTAACACAATGGCGGAAATTGTTTGGAGCGATGGCCAACACGTTCAGAAGTATTTCAATGCTAACGATGTTACAGCGGAGGCCAATATAAATGATTTGGACGAGAACAGAAGATATAATAGATGGAAATAGAAACATTCTAGCAAAACTGCGAACAGAAGACTTTTAAAGCGGGAACCACGGGGATTCCCCAGACGATGTTCGAAATGGATGACATGAAACAGGATTTGCGATGTTTATCATTGCACCTTTCAACTGTGAATCAATATTGATCACTGACATCAATAGATTCAAACATTATGTTTGTCAAGATTATTTATTGACGAAAGTTATATCAATGAACTTGTTGTTAAAACATATTTGTACATGGAAGTAAAAGTTGAAAGTCGGAAGGAAAATACCGGAAAATAGTTGCATAAAAAAAAACGTTGGTCCGAGAAGAAACTTTTTTCTTTTGATAGTCACAATGGAACTAGTTCTTAAAAGAGATTTTTAACAATATTGGTTCAATTCTGAAGTCATGGATACCTTTGAAAAGTTTTTACATTGATGGATTCCCGTTAATAAAACATGAAGAAAAAAAATTTACCTTTGTTTACCTCTATTTGCACCTGTACAGGTAATAAATGACCAGAGACTCACACAAAAATAAAATAAATAAAAAATACAGAATATAACAATACTTTTTTATATAACTTTTATTGATGAATATTCAATATTTACAAAGATATTGCAATTGTAAGTAAACATGTTTATTTCATCAGTGATTAAAATTTTATTCAGCAATACACAGAAGTACAATAGAAATGAATGCAGCAGTCTAAGGGTTAAAGAATAACAAAATCAAAAAGTATCAAAATAAACTCATCTTTAAATGGGATAAAATACCAAAACCTCTGTCAATTGGAAAATCAATAAAAAGCCTTTTATCTGAATAGCTATATATATAGGTATGTTATTTAATTTGGATTAAAAAAAGACAATCATAAAATTTCAAAGGCAGATTATGATGGACTTCTCACACAATTCAACAACAGTCGTATGAGGATAAAATTCTGGTTTGTTTGTTATGCAGTATCATTATTCTCACATTCTAATCAAGTCTTTGAACATTTGACCAAAACCTATCAGCTGATTTCCTATGTAAGAAATCATTTTTTGGAACTTTTTAGAGAATAAAATAAGCTAGGTACTTACTTTCAGACAACTCATTGTTGATAATACCTACCTTACTTAATCTCAGTGAAAGAATTGATATATGAGCCTACCATTTACAATATTTCTATCAATGATCTTAGTAAATATCTAGCACTAAAGCAGACATCTAGCAAGAAAAAAAAAATGTTTTCCTCTAATTTTAGCAAAAGAGAGGTATTAAAGCTTTATACATTAACACACTACATCAATATAATGTGATATGTTACCTTTAGTCATCTTCACCTGTGTATAAATTTTCTTATTAAGTTCCTTAAAATTTACATTTTTCAACCACAAGTATAAATGCAGTAGTTAATACCACTGCCTTTAGATTCTTGGAACCCAAAGTTAAATATTGTATAACTAGTATTTACAAGCTGAGACCAAAATGTTGAGATACACCTTTGCATCATGTGTAAAAATTGACAGAATTATTACTTTGAGCTAAACAAGAGTGAACACACTGAAATGTTTCACCTGCTTAAATGTTTATAACTGAACATGTACACCTTAAAACAAGTATAAAGACAAAATATTGATGGTCTATTTCTCATAGCAACTGAGAGACTGACCTTTCCCTTTTCACCTCATCTGGATGCATTTGTATATATGGATATGCTCCTAAAGGTCAATCCACCTTTTAGATCCATCAAATTATAAATATAATATTTACACGTCATATTCTGAATACCACGAAACACTTGCCACTGGACATTAAGCAGCCATCAATAACTCCTACTCTATTGTTCATGATCTTTTCCTTACCTTCAAGACTTACCTTCAGTGAAAATTGCAACCACCATGACTAGCTGGAATATTTTAGGATATAGTTGTTCATATGATTTTTGCCTAACATGTACACAGCTTACCTTCAGTAAATGCTGCATCCGCCATGACTAGTTGGAATATTTTAGGATATAAATGTTCTTGATCTTTGCCTAACATGTTCATTGCTAATTTAGCCCCATCTTCTATATTCTCATCTTCATCTTCTTGAAGAGCCTGTAATTCATTCAATAAAAAATACAATTAACACATTTGGAGGGATTGCTTCCATGTAGTTGGATCTAAAATGACATCATTACAATAGAGATTTGGAGGGATTGCTTCCATGTAGTTGGATCTAAAATGACATCATTTCAATAGAGTTTTAGAGGACATATCAATTAAAATGTCACAGTATGAAAGTATTCCAAAAAAAAGTTAACAAGCATTCTGTGAGTATTGCATGGCAATACATAGTCCCCTACCGGTTAAAAATTCATTGCAATGGAACAAAATTCTAACTTGATCTATAACTTGTCATGGTGTAAACTACATAAAATAATAAACAAACCTACCACTAAATTCTTCAAACAATTTACTAAAGAAAAGGAAAAAAATCCAAAATGTAATTTATCATTGATACGATGTCTTTTAGAAAATGAATTATTTCCCTTTGAACAGAAATCTAGTAATTAATAAGTATTTCATCAAAAATTTAATTCTAGGGAAAGGACTTTCACTGAACAAGGAGAAAAGCTAAAATCATGAAAATTGAACTTGACCTGTAACTTGTCATGATAAAACAATACACCAAATATCAAATCAATATCTTCAAGCATGAAGAAAAAAAGTCTGGAAAACTGATTTACCGGACTGACAGATTGACAGACAGACAGACAGAGTGCAAACCTAAAGTCCCCTTCAACTTCGTCAATAGTGGACTAAAAACAGTTTTAAAAGGTTTTGTTGTAGTTCTTACACTAAATTTGTACTTATTAACAGCTACTTTTATTAATACATAATTAAATATAAAATAAACATTTGGTGTAAAGTTTTTTTTTAATCTGAATGCAAATGAAATAACTTTTAAAATCTTTCAGAGAAACTCTGACTACTCCTTATTCTCAATATTAGCATATTTAATACATTTCCTTTTTCAATTTTAGCACCATATATTAGCTTTACTTTTTGTTATACCTGAGCATCAGAATCAAATTAGGATATCTTACCTGTACTGTTTTATATACTTTTAGAAATTTGTCACAACCTAGATGACCTTCCAATTCTGCTCGAGATTCTTCCAACCGTGAAAACAAATCAAAATCATCGTCATCATCTCCAAACTGTGTATCAACATCACTCTCATCTAAAATACAATATGGTTTTCATTACTCTTGACACTATTCACAAGCAGAAAATTAAAGATCCTTAAGTCAGGAAGCTCACATACGCTATGCCTTCTATATAAGAGAGTATAGTTAATATCGACCTGATGGCATAGTTTTTCAGAAACTATGACCTTGACCTTGGAGACCTTGACGTCGGTATCTTAAGGTATAATTGTTTATGCAAACCTTTGTTCTTCTAAAGTGTCCACTTCTATTGTAAATTTTTTTTTATAAGTTCATGCTGAATTAAGATCCACAAAATTAGAAAATCAAAGAATATCAATGCCTACCTAATAGCGGGTGGTTATATGTCTACGAATTCAGGTAAATCACTGCTTCATTTGTTTCAAGATAGAAATATTACTAAAAATTATTTTCTTACAGCTGTTCTGTTTAATTGTACATGACACCAAGGGACAGAATCTGTGAATTGATGATTAAAACTACTGCTCAAATCAAATTTCACAAGAATTTTTAAAATTGTTTCGATGGATTGGTACCACATTTTCTAAGAACCATACCTTTACTATCCAAAATAAAACGTTCCTTTTCCTTACCTGATTCAAACAACGCACTGTCATCTTTATATTCAGCATCTTCTAAGGCCTCAGCGTAATTATTTACATCACCATCATCACCATTTTCTTCTTCTTCATTGTCATCTCCCTTCTCATCTTCATCATTTTCATCTTCCTTATTTTCTTCATCTTCTTCATCATCATTTTTATCATCATTTTCCTCTTCAATGTCGTTCTCCTTATTGCTTGCTGCAGACAATCTGAATTTGTTTGTGTCTCCTTTATTTGAACCATCATCATCTGTAATATAGTTTAATCCTTTATACCTTATCAGATAAAATTATTAACAGATATTTCATGTTCAGAAATTGACAATATCAGTCGAAAGAAGGTAAAAATTCCTTGGCAGTTACGTAAAGGAAATTTTCTTTAAAGATTGGCATTTTCTGCAAATGCCCTTATCATTATTTCTCATTCACTCACCTGCTCCTGCAGTAACAGACGAGCCATTGTTTCCCGTACACTCACCTGTGCTACATTCCCGCAGTAACAGACTAGCCATGGTTTCTCATTCACTGACCTGTGCTGCATTCCCTCAGTAACAGACTAGCCATGGTTTCTCATTCACTCACCTGTGCTGTATTCCCGCAGTAACAGACTAGCCATGGTTTCTCATTCACTCACCTGTGCTGCATTCCCTCAGTAACAGACTAGCCATGGTTTCTCATTCACTCACCTGTGCTGCATTCCCTCAGTAACAGACTAGCCATGGTTTCTCATTCACTCACCTGTGCTGCATTCCCTCAGTAACAGACTAGCCATGGTTTCTCATTCACTCACCTGTGCTGCATTCCCTCAGTAATAGACTAGCCATGGTTTCTCATTCACTCACCTGTGCTGCATTCCCTCAATAAGAGACTAGCCATGGTTTCTCGTACACTCATTAACTCTTCATATTCTTCTTCATCACTGAAATACAATATCAAACTATACTTAGGTACTCAAATAGGCATCATTTCAACAGAAAGGAAGCTTCTCCTATGTGAAAGAAATCCCATAAAACATTAATTTAAATCAAATTCTAATGTCAGAGGTGTGAGTCTCACTTAAATTTAGTAATAGGCTTTGTAAAAGTTTAGATACAAGGTGTCTACTTACAGTCCATATTGTGCTAAGGGAAAATCTCAAAACTATTTATAAATATCATCAACACTTAAAAAATCAACAGGAGGTGCACAGTTCCATTTAACCCGAATAATTCAGTCGTTATATTCCACTGCTCTACGATGGCTACATTAACGCCTGAAGACCTTGTCAATAAAAAATTGTCAAATAATCATTTGGAATTAGCTCGGGATTTACCTATCTCGATAACATTGAGCAATTAGCTGATTGGCTCTCTCTCACAGAAAACACCAATCAAAATCCTGGATTCGTGATGCGTTTTTATTGTATAAAGAATTCAGGCCCTCGCGAGTGGGAGAGTCTATCACGGGGAGGGACTGAATTATTCGGGTTAAGTTCCATTAAGTATTGAAGATTTTATGGAAGTTTTGAGATAAGGGTATTATAATAGGCATTGTTTATATCTAGTAATGTGGAAAATATGATAATTAAAAATATAGAGTAGAATTTAGTAACAACACTCCTCACATGGTTAATCACTAAGTTTCAAAATGGGTTGATAGTATTATATTGGTTAGTTCATGTCTGTCATATTTGTTTCGTAAATCGTTTTGTTATAAATTTGGCCATTAGTTTAATCTTTTGAATATTTTTACATTTGTCATGCAGGGGCCTTTTATAGCTTACTATGTGGTATCTGTTTTGCTCATTGTTAAAGGCTGTTCCGTGACATATATTTGATTTAACTGCTATGTCATTTGGTCTCTGGTGGAGAGTTGTCTCATTGGCAAGCATACAACATCTTCTAATTTTAAGTTAACATTCCAAGACTATCAGCCTGGGACTTACACATCTTCCTCTTCTTCATTCTCTTCATCATCTTTATCTTTATTTTCACTTGATTCTTCATCTTCTGCATCGTCATCCTGTGTTACAATTTATATTCTATTTTATGTGAACTGATGAGTTGATATAATACTGTAACTTCCAATAACATTCACTTATATAAAGTTTTAGTATTTAATTTGATTTGATAAAAGTACAAAGTGTGTTTTGATTCAAGTTATATATATGCCTATGCTAAGTACTATAGAGGGAACAGAATCTTATGGAATATTGCAACATTGCACCTAAAATAACCCACTGAAATGCAACCTCCATTCAGAATTTTTTGGGTATGATCAGGGGTTATCACACTTCAGATTTCTCCCTGGCAGCTAAACAGGGAAGAGTGTTGACCCAACAGAGAGACTTCAGGAAAGTAGGAGGAGTTATGATAATGCTATTTGTGTGATAGATTTTTTTCTATCAATTATCTTTTTTACTAAATTAAGGAGCCTTTTTTATTACACATTTAAAGGGTTTATTTTCTTGCCTTGTGGTCTGAATGAGTTGCGAGATAAATAATGGGTGCATTTGGAGTAAGATATTTAATAAAATCACAAGCTCTATATAGATTCATTAGTGCATGCTTACAATAATACAAGAGTGCACACGCTGAAATGTCTCGCCTGTTTTACTTATCATTGAATTTATGTTGAAACTCTGTAACATGAAGGTTTTACTACAAGTATCATATAAACTTAACATTATCAAAGTTCTATACACCTAACATAGCTGACCTACTGCTATTAGTATTTGGGAAACCTACCAAAACCCAAAAAACTTAACATTGACCAATGAACCATGAAAATGAGGTCAAGGTCAGATAATACCTGCAAGACAGACATGTACACCTTACAATTGTTCCATACACCAAACATAGCTGACCTATTGCTATTAGTATTTAAGAAATTGACCAAAACACAAAAACCTAACATTATTTAATGTTTACTTATTCAGAGTTATATCTAGTCTCACTATTTTTAATATATACCATCTTTGATAAATGTTTAGTATGACGATAAATTTTCATACTAGAAATAACAAAATTATTTATTTTGTAAAACTTATTTCCGTACTCCATGTATACCTTACAACAAAATTATTTTTATTTACCTGTGTACATTGTTTTATTTGGTGGCATTTTATCCAAAGTTATGGTTGTCTTTTTGATATTGTTTTCAATTTTGTATTTACATTGTGTCATAGATCAAATTTATTCGTTCAGTGTATGTTCACTTGTTTTTGTTAATATGTCTTTTGATTGAGTTAAGCCATTTCAATTGATATTTTATAGTTTGTCTTTCTATGGGTGATGTTACACTATTGTTTCAGGTAGGGTGAAGGTTGGCGCCTATTCAAACATTTAAACCCGCTGCATTTGTTTGCACCTGTCCTAAGTCAGGAACCTGATGTTCAGTGGTTATCGTTTGTTGATGTGGTTCATAAGTGTTTCTTGTTTTTTATATAGATTCGAACCGTTGGTTTTCCTGTTTGAATGGTTTTACACTAGTCATTTTTGGGGCCCTTTATAGCTTGCTGTTCGGTGTGAGCCAAGGCTCTGTGTTAAAGGCTGTACTTTGACCTATAATGGTTTACTTTTACATATTGTGACTTGGATGGAGAGTTGTCTCATTGGCACTCATACCACTTCTTCTTGTATCTATTGACCAATGAACCATGAAAATGAAGTCAAGTTCAGATGAAACCTGACAGACTGACATGTACCCCTTACAAACATTCCATACACCACATATAGTTGACCTACTGCTAATAGTATCTGAGAAAACGGACCTAATCACGTAACTTTAACCTTGATCACTGATCCATGAAATGAGTTCAAGGTCAGGTGAACCCTGTCTGACGGACATGTAGGCGTTGTAAGGAACCCATATACCAAATATAGTTATCCTACTACTCATAATAAGTGTAAAATTCACATGACAAAAAAACTAATTTTTTTCAAGCAATTGCTGAACCATGAAAATGAGGTCAAAGACAATGGACATATGACAGACAGAATTTTCGTAACATAAGGTATCTGTATACAAGGTATGAAGCATCCAGGTCTTCTACCTTCTGAAATATAACGCTTTATACAAATAGTTTACGCTGCCTCAGCCGCCGGATAGTAATACCTATGTCTCACAAGTAGCAGGCTAGACAATAAAATGCTAAATACACATATAAACATGCAAATTTGAAGCTGTTATTTTTTCAAAGAAATTTTGATTTGGTATTTTAATAACAGGCCTAGGACTCCTAATTTAATTTGATAAATAAATGAACATTTCTTTAGCAGTAAGGAATCCCATACAGTCTTTCCCTGAACCTGGGTATGCAGCATACTAATGATAATAAATAACATATCACCTCTTTAACTCTTTCTAACTCTAGACTTCTTCTTTCTACTTTTATTACATCTTTTTGTGACAGTTTACTCAGATCTGGTTCTGAACATGTTCTTAACAACTGAAAATGTAATATGTAATAATTTATAAATAGTTGCTGTTGCCTTTTTTAATTTATTGTTCTGATAAGAAAATTGGTGTTGATGCTAACATTGAAAAAGTATCTTTTGGTTAGTTTTTTGTCACTAGGTTGCTGTCTCACTGACATATACCCTCACATTTATCACTTATATATTTGAAGCATGAATTCATGGGTTGTTTCGACTTTTCATAATTTTAAGCTTGTCTTATGGTATGGACACTTGTTATTGTTAAAGATAGTATACTGTAAATTCAGAAATTATTGCGAGGTTTTTATTAATGCGAATAATGCGACTAGATGAGTATCGCAATAATAAGAACTCGCATTTTGATAACTAAAACATAGATCTGTATGTAGATTTTTCTGAAATCGCAATAATTAAACTCGCATTCTTGTCAATTTTTGAAAAATCGCAATAATAAATGCACGCAATAATTTCTGAATTAACAGTATTGACATCCACATATCTATGTTTGGTTTGTTTGTGTAGTTGAGTTGCTGTCTCATTGAATGATTACCCAGTATCTTCTTTATCCATATTAAAATCAATCACAATATCTTCATAAATGAAAAGCTAGTTGATGTTTTCTACTTCAACAATTTTTTTTTCAGAGTCATAAATGATAGTTAAAAAAGTGGAAAACAAATGTTTTAAGTGGTACTGGATAACTTCTTTTTGAACATCTTAATTTAACACTTATCTTTAAAATCTATTTATCTTTTATAAATGATTAAAGAATTAACATACTTTAACTTATAGTTTATGCTTAAAAGTTAAATTATAATATACTTTTACATGTATTTTCTTTTGAGATTGTTGAACAATGGACAACATGTGAGATTATTTATTGAGATTGTTGAACAATGGACAACATGTGAGATTATTTATTGAGATTGTTGAACAATGGACAACATGTGAGATTAATTATTGAGATTGTTGAACTATGGACAACATATAAGATTAATTATTGAGATTGTTGAACTATGGACAACATGTGAGATTATTTATTGAGATTGTTGAACTATGGACAACATGTGAGATTAATTATTGAGATTGTTGAACTATGGACAACATGTGAGATTATTTATTGAGATTGTTGAACAATGGACAACATGTGAGATTAATTATTGAGATTGTTGAACTATGGACAACATATGAGATTAATTATTGAGATTGTTGAACTATGGACAACATGTGAGATTATTTATTGAGATTGTTGAACTATGGACAACATGTGAGATTAATTATTGAGATTGTTGAACTATGGACAACATATGAGATTAATTATTGAGATTGTTGAACTATGGACAACATGTGAGATTATTTATTGAGATTGTTGAACTATGGACAACATGTGAGATTATTTATTGAGATTGTTGAACTATGGCCAACATGGGGAATTATTTATTGAGATTGTTTATTGAGATTGTTGAATTATGGACAACATGTGAAACTAATTATTGAGATTGTTGAACTATGGACAACATGTGAGATTAATTATTGAGATTGTTGAACTATGGACAACATGTGAGATTATTTATTGAGATTGTTGAACTATGGACAATATGTAAGACTAATTATTGAGATTGTTGAATTATGGACAACATGTGAGATTATATATTGAGATTGTTGAATTATGGACAACATGTGAGACTAATTATTGAGATTGTTGAACTACGGACAAAATGTGAGATTAATTATTTCAGTTTCAGAAAATGGTGCATACAAATAATGAAGTTACTAAATATAAACTGCCAGTTTTTTTTTGTATTTTTGTGAAACCATACCCATTTCAATTTTCGCAATGATAAAAAAGTGTCAAAAATTTGTGAATTTACAGTTTTGTATTATGAAGCTTTTTATATGTATTGACTACACTACTATATATATTCACCTACAATAATGAATTACTTACCCCTGTATTCCTGATATCAAAATGACCAGTAGTTAATGCCACAGCTAGTCCTGTCTTTGGTTTACCACTGTTATAAAGAAACAACATTTATATCAAACTTAGCCCAACTCAATATTTCTATATTGCTTAACTTTATACATTTTCAAGAGATTCCTTCAAATGTTAACTAAATTCTGACTAAATTATAGAACTCTCACATGAATATCTTAGCAAAATAATCAAATTGTTACTTACTCTTTATCTTTTGGGATATCTTCTAGAACTTTGTCTTTTGATACATCTTCTTGAACTTTATCTTTTGGTACATCATCTTGAACTTTATCTTTTGGTACATCATCTTGAACTTCCTCAAGGACTAAATTATCTTTGACAACCTCTGTTTTGATCTGGTCTGTATTTTCTAGTTCTACTTTACTGAACAATGATCCTTCACCCACTACATTCTTAGCTTGTGGTACATCACCTTGCTTAGCTGTAAATATGTAATACTAAATTATAAAGGAAATATATAGTTATAGGGGATTAATTTTGATGTGGGACACTTATTTTTGTGGATTTCATGTGCATAGATCAACAAATTAAGTTTTTCAACAAAATACAAATTTTCATAGTCTTGCATACAAAATTTATCAAACACATAAATAAAATTAAAAAAAATTAATCCACAGCATTTCAAGAAAATATTAAAGCAAACATTTTTGGTGCAAAGAAAAGAAGAAAATTTCACAAGCAAATGCAAATAAATTAAACTCATTCTTCATACTTCAAATACATAATGGTATAACTAAAACACAACATCAAATAATTACCAGTGACAAAATAAATACTGAATAAACAGAAGTTTAGTTTTAAACATGCATAGTACATATGGAGACCTCTTAATTAAGTCTTATGCCTATCTGTTTTCTCTTTCAATTTTAAATATTTTACCCTTCTAGAGCAAAGTTTTTACTTTGGTTCATGCTCCTCAAATAATAGTTTTTGTTATCTTTTATGGACTGTTGATTGTCTTTCATCATATTTCTATTACCTTTCTTTTAACTATAAATCTTAGCTCAAGTGTTAAGGGTCTCTGATTATTAAAACAATGGTAGGGTTGGTAATAAAATAAAATATTAAGTTAAAGGTACACAATTATTACTAACCAAATACTAATGGAGATTCAGGTTTGTTTAATATTGTTGGTTTTGGTAATACCAATGGTTTATCAGCAGGTTTTGGCTTGGACGGCAAGGGAGGCTTATTTAATACTGATTTAGTTGCCACTGGAGGCTTAGATAATTGTCCATCAGAACTGGATTTTTCTGGTTCCTTTTCTGTGGATACTTCAGATTGTGTAGATTTCTGGTCAGGTGATGATGTTATTGTGGGTTCTGATTTTGATTGGTCAACTTCATGATCAGGTGATTCAGATGGCTTACATGGAATTTCTATTTCTAAACATAAGAAAAGTGCATAAATACAACACCAAATAAAAGAATGGTGATAATAAAAAAAGCAAGCACTCTACTGAATAAAGCTACATGATAAACTTGAGATTTTTAGCTTATCATTTCATTTTTTGGTCAGTGTAATAAAAAAATGTGTCATTTGATCATTTTGATAAATTAACTCAACATCTATTCTAATTCTGAAAATGTTTTGAACTTTTCATTTATCACTCATCTTATTTCTACACAAATGTTTTTAACAAAATCATTTTTACAAAGAGTTTATCAGTACTTGTATTTTGTGATTTTTAATACAACAATAATGTACTGTACATTTTGCCCATTTCTATACGAGGATCAAAACTTTAACAATGTATCAAGTCCCTGTAAATATCATTATTATGATCAGTTTTGAGGACATAGTAAGTGCTGTACAGGTCCTACTTCTTAAGGGGGTACAGAACACCTAAGGGAGTTCATTCTTTGAAATTCAGCTGAATGTTCTGATCACATACTATTAGTAAAGAGAAATCATGCTTTTCAATGATCAAAATTAGTGTTTGTAGAACTGATATATATCCAATAAAATTATTCCTGTAAATTGTGCAGTTCAAATTTCTTGAAATTTTTATATTTTTGTCAACAGTTCACAGTAAATATTTTTATTTTATGAAAATTAAACAAGCCAAATCTATTTTAGTCAAAGTATTGGGTACCCCCTTAAGTGCAAGCAGGACCACAAATGGACTTAAACATCGTCCCCAAATACAAGTCAACATATTAGGACCTAATAGTGTTCATATCAAAATTTAATCATGGAACAACCTTCATGAACAAACCATGGTGTATTAATGACAAAGGGAGTACTAAAAACAATCCCCAAAAAGTTTGAAGCAAACTATACAAAGAAGGTAGTGCTGAAATACAGACAAACTGATTACTTTCTATACATTTTTTACTTCTAATAGAGCTATATTTCGAAGAAGTTGATTCATGGTAAACGATCTTCTACCATAACTTTAATACTTAATCTGATACACGATAAATAAACTTTGAATGAATGCACAGACTGGAAAACAAAATGCCTCCCTACTATTACAAGCATTGCATAAAAATCAGAGCCTGTTTTTTTTCACAAATTGATAAGCCCTTCAGGAAAGGTACAGTCCTGTTTATAGGAACCACCCAATTATTTTGACACTGTCCATTAAATACATAGCATTAGACACCTACCAGGTCTGGCTATATTTTCCCTTTTCTCTGTGGATGATATTGTTATTGTGCCTTTTTGAATGGGTGTTTTTGTTATTGTTATGGTTTCACCAATACCTGGCTTTACTTCTGTGTCTGCTGAAGCTACTGACGAAGGAACACTGTCATCTGAAATTAAATATTTTATTTTATTCCACTATATGTTAATATTGATAGCATAATCAACATTTGATTGGTTGAGAGTTTCCCACATGACATTGAACAAAACTTCATATTCACCTCTGAATATCATATTCCCCTCTGAACATCGTGTTACACAGGGTTAATGTACATAGCGTTTTAAACATGTCATGTTTATATAAAGTTATAAAAGCAAGTGGATATGAAAAATTTTATGTACATTAATAATCTTTGTTCAAGAAGTAAAAAAATTAAAAATTAAAGTCAATGGAATAAAACATTCATTTCTCTTGTTTTGTTGTAAGATCTTGTAAAATGATGACTTACAATTTTTAGTAACATCACATTTTAAAAAGTCTACCATTCAATCAGGGTGCTGACATTCAGTGGATATATCAAAGTATTGACAATCAAGAACACTTGTGTCCAGTGGTATATCAACTTTAAATTTTATGTCAACTCATTAACGAGGGGCCTGATGGGTTATTTTCGTTCTTCGTGATCGGCGCATTTTCGCTATCGTGATCCGTTTTTCTACAGATTTTTTTTTTTTTTATATTTTCGTGATCCGTGATCATAGAAATTTATTTTCTGTGAATCGTGATTGACAAAAAAATCAACTCGTGAATCGTGATGAGACCCCCCATCAGGCCCCTCATTAACATATAGAGGAAAAGAATAATATTTTGTCCAACTGTAAAGTTGCTAAAAAAGTCATGTTTCAGTGAACATATAAAGTTTAGACAAAAAGGAACATTTCATGTCTAGTAGTATTTTAACTAAGACTGTTCAACAGATTTATAAAATATTGACAAACAGAAATAGTAAACCATACTCTTTCAAAAAATAAAGCTTCGACAAAGATTTAATGCTTAGTGGGAAAAGTAAAATTTCAAAGAAATGGTTTCAGAGCAAATCTAATAAAATGCTTTGCTGAGCGCAGCCTGATACGACTGCAGTGGTTGAACCCTGAACAGTTGGGGCAAATTTGGACACAATATTCAAGCTTGATACTATCTGAATTTGGATTGTGATCAAATTTTTGACATAATATAGGTTTCTGACACTAAATAAATGTGGTAAAGATCTTACAAATCTAATGTTCAATACTGTGCAATTGAAGATTTCTTCCTGAAACTTTTCAAAAATTTTAAATTTTGAAAATTTTGAAGAAAATAAATGAACCCTTTTAAAATAAAATGCTCCGCAGGGCGCAGCTTGATACGACCGCAGAGGTCGAACCCTGAACAGTTGGGGCAAGTATGGACACAACATTCAAGCTTGATACAGCTTTGCATTTGGATTGTGATTAAATATTTGACACAGCATAAGTTTCTGACACAGAATGAATGTGGTCTAAGAACTTAAAAATTTTAAATTGGACATCCACCTATTATGGTCCAATATCCAAAATCTAAATACATGGTTAGATTCAGCATATCAAAGAACCCCAAGAATTCAACTTTTGATGAAATCAAACAAAGTTTAATTTTGGACCCTTTTGACCTCAATGTGGACAAAGTTGATAACGGGGCCCAAAAATCAAAAAATCTAAATACATGGTTAGATTCAGCATATCAAAGAACCCCATATATTCAATTTTTGTTGAAATCAAACAAAGTTAAATTTTGGATCCCGATTTGGACAAACTTGAAAACTGGGCCCATAATCAAAAATCTAAATACATGTTTAGATTCAGCATATCAAAGAACCCTAAGAATTCAATTTTTGTTAAAATCAAACTAAGTTTAATTTTGGACCCTTTGGACCTTAATGTAGACCAATTTGAAAACAGAACCAAAAATTAAGAATCTAAATACACGTTTAGATTCGGCATATCAAAGAACCCCAATAATTCAATTTTTGATGAAATCAAACAAAGTTTAATTTTGGACCCTTTGGACCTCAATGTGGACCAATTTAAAAACGAGGCCCAAAATCCAAAAACTAAATACACTGTTAGATTCAGCATATTAAAGAACCCCAAGAATTCAAGAATAAAACCCCATTGAAATTGGTCAAGAAATAAGCAATTACCCCCAAACTCAAACCCAGCTTTCCATTTGTGATATGGAACCTTGTAGTACAATTTCAGAAAGATCCATACACTTTCACACAAGTTATTGTCCTGAAACTAGAAAAATGCTTGTTTTTTGCCCCTTTTTTGGCCCCTAATTCCTAAAATTTTGAGGCAATTACCCCCAAAATCAATCCCAGCATTCCTTTTGTGATATGGAACCTTGTGGTACAATGTCAGAGAGATCCATACACTAGCACACAAGTTATGTCTGGAAGTTACAAAAATGCTTATTTTTGGCCCCTTTTTGGCCCCTAATTCCTTTACTGTTGGTACCATAACCCCCCAAATCAATCCCAACCTTCCTTTTATGGTATTAAACCTTGTGGTAAAATTTCATAGAGATCCATTCACTTAAACTAAAGTTAGAGTGCGAAAACCAATGTGTCTTCGGACGACGCCGGACGACGATGACGACGACGCCAACGTCATACCAATATACGATCACAAAAATTTTTTTGCGGTCGTATAAAAAAATTGGAAACCCCCCTTCCCCCAAAAATTTTTGAATCCCCCTTTTAGCATTAACCATCAAACTCAATTGCAGTCTTTCCTTTGAAGTATGGAACCTTGTAGTACAATTTTAGAGAGATCAATACACTTAATCACAAGTTACTGTCTGGAAACTAGAAAAATGCTTTTTTTTTAACCATAAAAGCCCATTTAAATACATCATAAATTTTGGACCCTTTGGACCTTAATGTAGACCAATTTGAAAACGGGACCAAAAATTAAGATTCTAAATACACTGTTAGATTCAGCATATTAAAGAACCCCAATATTTCAATTTTTGATGAAATCAAACCATATCATTATTATTTGCTTTTATACATAAACCAGAAATAACCAACTTAAAATGGAAAATTTTAAAGAAAAAAAAAAGGAAAAAAAGGGAAAAAAAATCCCCCCCCAATTTTTTAAACCCCCTTATAATTCATCACCCCCAAACTCAATCCCAGCCTTCCCTTTGTGGTATGGTACCTTGCAGTACAATTTCAGAGAGATACATACACTTGAACACAAGTTATTTTCTGGAAACTAGAAAAATGCTTGTTTTTTGGCCCCTTTTTGGCCCCAAATTCCTAAACGTTTAAGGCAATTACCCCCAAACTCAAACCCAGCTTTCCCTTTGTGATATGGAACTTTGTAGTACAATTTCAGAAAGATCCATACACTTATACACAAGTTATTGTCCTGAAACTTGAAAAATGCTTGTTTTTTGGCCCCTTTTTGCCCCTAATTCCTAAAATTTTGAGGCAATTACCCCCAAAATCAATCCCAGCATTCCCTTTGTGATATGGAACCTTGTGGGATCCACACACTAACACATAAGTTATTGTCTGGAAGTTACAAAAATGCTTATTTTTGACCCCTTTTTGGCCCCTAATTCCTTAACTGTTGGTACCATAACCCCCAAAATCAACCCCAACCTTCCTTTTGTGGTATTGAAACTTATGGTAAAATTTTATAGAGATACATTCACTTAAACTAAAGTTAATGTGCGAAAACCAATGTGTTTTCGGACGACGACGACAATGTCATACCAATATACGACCGCAAAAATTTTTTGCTGTCGTATAAAAATTATTAAAACTAACAACTAATTTAATTATAGTATATCCATCTTATCAGACATGTCCCACATGTTTTTTTTTGTGTTTATCTTTGATCTTTTGGGGTGTAAAAAAGTTTTATAATTATCCTTGGTCTATATACTAAGCTTATCTGGTGGTTGATGGTGCATACACTTTTAACACTTTTAAAATCAATATTACAATTTAAACAAGATGGAAAAAAAATCTTTTTTTTTTTTTTTTTTTTTTTTACAAAAAAAACTTTACCATATAAATAACCCATCTTGTTTAATTATAATCTAATCATTGATGATTAGGAAGAACATTGTTATTTAAAAATATACAATTAGTTCTCTGCTCCAATTATTGGTTCATCAAATTGAACTTATCATTAACACAGTAGTAGACAGGTGATTTCTTCTGGACATTATCCAAAGGAATTTCTGTCATAAAAAATAGGAATATCCTAATATAAATGAATAAAATTGTCTATGGTCAGTGACAAATAATATTAACCACATATTAACACAAATGAAGATCATTGTAACACTGCTGGGTAAGGAAATAGTAAATCCTATATAAAACATCAGTTTAAATTGATTTCCTCTTTATAGGTTCTTATCAAACATGTTCCACATGAATTATTTTGTTTATCTTTTATTTTTAAGGATGAAATTTAATACCTAAATGACACATTCGAAACTTGAAACATGTATTAATTTGAAGGACACTTTTCCTTTATTTATGTCAATTTAGTATGACACAGCAAAGATTCATAAGAAAACATCTGTTAACACAATTTTCTATCTAGTTCTTACAATAAATATTTACTTGATCAATAAAAACTGTCTTCCTAATGCATGGCCTGACTATGCCTCAATAAAAGGATGACCTTTAACATTTAGAACCCTTTTTGGCAAAAAAAAGGTGAAAAGATCAAAGGTATAAATGACCCGAGGGTTGCTCATGATATTTCTTAAACATTGGTGAATGAATTGTCTATAATACAAAAAAAAAAATATGTAAAAATTTATAAAATTTAAAATCAGAAGTACACAACTTCAGTAGGTGAGCAAATGTATTGTGAAGTATCAAGGATCTGGGTTGAAAACCGTAGCAGGATTACTCACAATTGGCAGTCCTTAAGAAAATTTGGCTTTACCAAATGGGAACAATTGCTTAATAAATTCTATAGAAGCATGTTCACAACTTCATATTTGTACAATGTGTCCAGAACATTTCAAAAATCTGGGTTGAAAACTGGGATGAAACTGATGAAAATGGTACTGACATTTTTTTTTTGCTAACAAAATGAGGTTATAAACAAAAGTCTGAAAATAGGAAAAATCCCCCCCCCCCCAAAAAAAAATCTATTATAGCAGGTGCACATCTTCAATTTGTGTTAAATCTTCCTGAGAAATTTCAGGGAAATGGGTTGAAAACTGTAGGAGCTCTCGATTATACAAAATAGGGGAATTGGGTACCCACTTCTCCCCAACTATCCATCTGACATTTTTATACTTTACCTGGCCAACACGAATCACCTTACTGTAAACCAACTAATTTTCGCAGATATTTTATTTTCTAGTCCTTTCTAGTCCACTTCGCGGCGATTTAATTTCGCGACTTTCTTATTTACTTTATGAAGTTAAATATAAGGAAAGATCTAAGTTTGCATATTCGCGATGATTTATATTCGCGTTATTTTTCCACTCGTGAAAGTCGCGAAAATAAATCGCTCGCGAAAATAAGTTGGTTTACAGTATATAGATATAAGAAGATGTGGTATGAGTGCCAATGAGACAACTCTCCATCCAAGTCAAAATTTATAAAAGTAAACCATTATAGGTCAAAGTAAGGTCTTCAACATGGAGCCTTGGCTCACACCCGAACAGCAAGCTATAAAGGGCCCCAAAAATTACTAGTGTAAAACCATTCAAACGGGAAAACCAACGGTCTAATCTATATAAAAAACAAGAATCGAGAAACACTTATGAACCACATCAGCAAACTACAACTACTGAACATCAGATTCCTGACTTGCAAACAATTGCAGCGGGTGTAAACGTTTTAATGGTACCAAACCTTCACCCTTATCTGAAACAATAGTGTAACATCACAACATAGAACGAAAAACTATAAAATATCAATTGAAATGGCTTAACTCAATCAAAAGACATATTAACACCAGTGAACATACACTGAACAAATAAATTTGATCTATGATAAAATGTAAATACAAAATAAATAAACTAAGGGAAGAATAATAAAAGTAACATGTTATACCGCTGTGAAATAACACTAAAATAGTGGTACATTCAAGGTATGGCTAGTTCTTTACCCTTGTAAAGTAAGTAATTAATACTGTTTTTATACATTGTATAAGTCTAACATGATATAACAGGACATTCATACTCTTTTATCTTATCCTGTTACCTCAGATAATTCTTTTTCGAAAATAACCAAAAAAAAAGCCTGACTTATTATAATTACCTTATATGGTACAATTCAATATGATCAATACAAGATTGTAGTTTTCATTGAAATTACGTTTGTTTCATTCAAAATACACCCGTTTTTTAAATTTTCATAAACATTAATAGGTTATTTGAAATGTATAGTATGTAAAAATATACCTGGGTATCCAGGGTCACGAATATAATTTTATATCAGTACTTTTTATAGCTATAAACAATATTCAGATTTATAATGTATAACTATTGTAGTCAATGTAAAACAAAGGGATAACTTTTTTAAGATGGAAAAAAATGATCCTATATTTAGTTCTCACTGTAATTGCCCAATTTTTTAAATTCAGTTTTTGACCATAAATTTTTTATAAACACTGTAAACCCAGAGAAAATTTTTGTGGATTTTCAGATTCATTTTAAATAATAGGTATAATCGAAATAAAATTAATATTTTCAACTTCTATGTTCTAAGGAAAACAGTTAATCTAGTAGATCAACACGATCATCATGAAAATGAATATCTATTGTCTACTGCTGGGTAAGGAGTTATATAAATCTGTCATAAACTATAAGTTCTGATCAGTTAATATTACTTACATTCATACACTTGTAGTAGAGATGTCCTACAATTTTTAATATTTTATTTAGAAATTTAAATTTTTAATTTTTTTGATTTAATTTTATGAACAATTGTTTATATCTTTAAAATGATCAGAAACTTATTTATGTGAAGGGCATGTTTCCTATATATATAAGTCAATATTTTATCTAGTACATGTATTGGTGTATCAGATTAACTTTAAATTGAATTGAAATGAATATTTTCTTCATTCATAAATAAATAAAGGGCCTCTCCGGCAGAGTTAACTTGTCAAAAGTTGTTCATTCTTGAATGAGTGTCAATGTATATGTCTTCAGTATTTTACCAAAACATTTGATTAATATGAATGAAATGAGATGTTGGATATACTTATATATGACAGCAAGTAAACAGCACAACAAATGAAAATAAAGGTCAACATTCTTATATATTGTTAAACACTGGACTACAGGGTGTCAAATTGTCTGGGAAACTTTTGTCCACACAACTGATCTTGATTCAAGTTAATTTTGAGGTTTCCATACAAAAGTTAATCAATCAGAACTTGTTATACTTGGGGCAATTTAGAATTTTGTTGTTGGATTGCTGTCTCAATAAGTCTCATTAAGTAATGTTCATATTCATATTGGATTCCTTTGTATTTTCTTTCTAAAAATAAGAATTTTGTGTTCCTTGGAATTAATTTTCATTCCTTTATTTCTGTTTCTTTATAACTTCAACTTGAAACAAAACTGACAGACAATTTAACAAAAAAAAAATTACACATCAAATCAAATAAGTCCACAGTAATTTGATGTATTTTTTTTATTCTAATTTTAATTCCTATTTTTTTTTCCTTTTTTTAATTGGGAGTTAGGGTCATTGGGTTGCTATCTAAGTGATATGTCCACATGACATCTCCTTTCATTTATATTCAAAAGGGTTGAAAGTTACAGTATACAGTAAAAGACTTTTAAAAATGATATAAACAAGTAAACTTATATACTATAAAATAAAGCTGAACAAATCAAACTTTAACCGAGGGAGATGTCAAGAGCAAAAATAAGAATCAAGCACTTCTGATCAATTGGATCTATCTTATTGTCTGGTTGTTGAAGCAAGCCTTCATCACTTCTTTAAAATAGATTTAACTTGAAGAAAAGCAGACATACATGTGAACTATAGAAAGAATAATAGACTATTATCCCCCCCCCCCCCCACATTCTGTATGTACCTGTCGTAAGTCAGGAGCCTGTAATTCAGTGGTTGTCATTTGTTGCTGTATATCATATTTGTTTTTTTTTCTTTTTTGTTTTATCAAGTATTCTCGTTTGAATTGTTTACATTCAGGGCCTTTTATAGCTGACTTTCCTAGGTTTTGCTGATTTTTGAAGGCCCTACAGTGACCTATAGTTGTAAAATTCTAGTCATTTGGTCTCTTGTGAAGAGTCATCTCATTGACATTCATACCACATCTTTTTGTTTTTATATTAGACAGACTGAAAGGCTTACTATATACAGTGCGTCAGCTTGATCAAATAGATAAAAATCAATCAATCTTCCTGTGTTAACCTTGATGTTTTATTATACATTTCAGTGTTAACATTAGTGATTGTAGAAGCAGAAAGATGCATGTCTTCATGGGAAGAATATGACTCAGAAACACAACTGTGCTGTGATTCTGGAGTAACATCCAAATTCAACAAACATGGACAGGAGTTAGATTGCTGTAGTGGTAAGTTTTGTGAGGATTTTACTTTTGAAACTGATTGGATATTTGTCATTATATAAGTTTCCTATTACGTAAACAGGAAGATGACAGTACAATTTTTTGAATAGTTCAAGGTCTCCTATAATATTATTGTGACAATTTGCACGTAAACAAAACAAATATTTTTATGATTCAGCATGTCTGAAAAAAATATTATACACATTGTGTATCATATAAACATCTAATCCACCAAAACTTTCAATAAGGAAAGGGAACATAGTAAGGACGGCCAATCCATAAGAATAATATGTTTTGGCACTGGTACCAACATTCTATGCGTGTCTTTTCAGACTGAACACTTTCATGTTCTAAAAATTAGTTCTACTGAATCTCATTTTCAGAAGCTATGTCAGCTTTTTATAAGAATGATATCTTAAATTCAATCAACATAAAACTTCTATGAAGAATGTTGTTCAGTTTTGTTTAGGTTTCTTTTTCTTATTGTCACATATACATAAAAAAGGATCACATGATCTACCAAGTTTCCTCCAAGAAAATAGACTACTATAATACAAAATAACACATGGTACAGATTGCTTGACTTTGTATAGACACTAGTAAATATATGACAATTAATGTAACAACCTTAATCATTGAATAAAAACAACAAAAAACACACATTGAACCCACTGGCTGAGACAAGATTTATAAATAAAATAATATCAAATCCATACTTTATTTTTGATCTTTAGAAAAAAGATTCATTGTTGACACTGAGATATGTTGTAAAAAGGATGTGTTCAAAAAGCTTGCAGAAGATGGTAAAGAAGTAAGCTGTTGTGGAGCTATCCCTTACCAAAAGTCACAAAAAGTCTGCTGCAATAACATCTTGCATGACAAAATTAATGGTAATATGGTAACTAAATAGATTAAGATTATAACACGATGTTGACTGCTGTACCCCTATTTTTTACATTTTTACCTATTACCGGGGTATGTCTTTTTGTTTTGTTCACACATCATTGTCAATATAATGGAATTTTCTGTGACTGTCATACAAGTGAGAGGTTTAGCTAGCTATAAAACCAGGTTTAATCCACCATTTCTACATAAGGAAATGCCTGTACCATTAGTCAGGAATATGAAAGTTGTTTTCCATTCGTTTGATGTGTTTGAGCTTTTGATTTTGCCATTTGGTAAGGGACTGTATTTTTGTTATTTTACTTTTTAGTGTTAATCTTAAAATGACCTTATGAAAGAATAAAATTAAATTAAAGATTACTCAAATTAGGTGATTAAATTTTAAACATTTTAGTAGTCTTAGAAAAAATTCACAATGAATGGTTTTTCAGGAGATCTTTTTTTTTCTTAACAGATATTGATGCCCTTGTTAAAAGATCAATCTATTTATTTCTATTAAAGATAAAACTTATTGAATTTTTTCAGTCCATCAAAGAAATTAATATAGTGGTTTATTTCTTTCATCATAGTGCAACTAATTCCAATGAGTCTTTATAGTATTTTTATTTTATTTCTATATCCAGGTATCAACAGTTGCTGTGGTTCAACACCTATTGACCAAAAAACAACAACTTGCTGTAGGGATAGAAATGGTAATAAAAAGTCACACAGCATAGGAACTCATAAGAAATGTTGTGGGGTTGAATATTACAACAAAACAACACATTACTGTAAATCCAGTAAGGAAGAAATTGTCCTACCCTTATTTAAATCCTTATGTAACAACACCGAGTATGACATTAGGAAACAGAAATGTTGCTCCACAATGTTACATAATGTCAGTGATAGTGATGAGCATTATAAATGTTGCGGCACAAAGTTGTATAATACAATTGATGAAAAATGTTGTGATGGAAGTTTTACCATACCACATGATACTGAGTGCTGTGAAAAAGGTATTTTTTTCTATTTTCTATTTATTGTATTTAAGATTTGTATTCCGAGATAGCTTTAAAAAAGTAGACTGATTCCTGTATGTTGGAAACCCTGGGATGAATGTACAAACACCTATGTTTGGATTGTTAGTGTTTAACCCCATGCTCAGCACTCTTGGCTATCATGTGGCGGCCAAATTTTATTGGTGGAGGAAGCCAAAGTGACCAGAGAAAATCATCTACCTTTGGCAGACAAACTGGCAATCCTAGTCAATTAACATCAGAGTTGAATTCACCTGCCACATGCAGGGTTCTAACTCACAACCTCAGTGTTGATAGGCTACAGTGATACTGTAGACTTATATCAACATCTATGAAAATTTAATAATCTCCTTTCTTGAAAATGTAATCTCTTTCACACATTTCTTGATTAATATTTCACTCAGAACTTGTTGGAGGATGAATACAAAGGTTGGAAAGCAAATACATTATCATTGAACAGACAACTTGTAGGGATGACCTCTGAAATTTTTTACTCAACTTTTGAAAATTAAGGGTCTGAATGTACAATTTTGACAACTGCATTCAATTTATTCTACAAAAACATATTTTTAATGTAGGCCATTACCATCCAAGTAGTCAGAAGTGTTGCAATGGGCTCCCTATCAACATAACATCATCAACAGAGGACTGTTGTGGGAATGGATTGTATGACAGTCAATACCAATCATGTTGTGGGAGTGTAATATACAACACATCCTCTCACCAGTGTTGTAAACCTGGTAAATAACTGATTAAGCACGGCAAAAATCACACTGATATAGAATATGAAAATTCTTTATTTATATGGTTATTGAAAGAGTATAACATCATTTCATTACTGATTAAGACCAGTAGTTTGTGTGGCTACATCATCTATTACACATTTGTTTCACTCCAATTAAAACTTAGTCATGACAAACTTTACGTGATGAAGTATTAAGAAATTGAAGCCCACAAAAAATAATTTATTTTTAATAGATTACGTATTGCATGCAAGCAGATTACTGTGTTGAGTTCTTCTCTGACTTATTCTTATGCAGTACACTCGGCCGGGTGTGGATGGTTTATACTGTCTCACGATTTGAGGAGTTACTATTCTTATTATTTTTTAATTATAAAGTTGTTGTTCCTATGATACTTTATTTTTTCACTAATTCTTATCACAGCTATCTTCATTTTACTTCATTTTAGATATAATTGTAGTTTTAAAATATTCATGCCGTCCACCCAAGTTTCATTGCCCATAACCACCCTGACATATTGTTTACCATCTCCCTCTTTGGAGGTTTGAAATCTAACAAGTAACTCATCAACTTGACAAAACATTAACTCAAGCTTCCTAAAATGGATTATTTCTGTGCAGTTTGCCATATAAGGAATCCATAATTTAAATATTAGGCATGCAAATGGGCTTTTTTATAGTAGAAATATTTTTTTTAACAGGAGGCGACATTATTGTTAAATCTTCTGAATACAAATGCTGCGGAAAAGCCAGTTATGACAGCCATGAAGATGTTTGCTGCACAAAACACAACTTCAATCATGAAACATTTAAAATAATTACAAAATCTGTTGAATACCATGACACATGCTGTGTTCCTTCTGACCTTGAGAAAAGTCAGTCCTATTCAAGTATTACACATAGATGCCAGCTGGGTGGTATTATTAATAAAACTGATATGTGTGGTAACGACCAATATAATGAGACCTCAGACCTATGCTGTGAAGGAGTTTTGGATAAGATGGGGTTAGATGAAGGAAGAGATTGCTGTGGAATAAAAAGTTATAACAAGACTACAAAGATCTGTTGTGACAACACAATTTACTTAAAAACAAACAAACAGAGGTAAGAAAATAATGTATTTTAATGGGGCTTCCAGTTACACTCACAATATTCTATCAAAGAATGCAAACATCCATGTTTTGTTGTGGAGTGTTGAAGTAATGTAAATGGGAAATACAAATAAAAACAGGGAAATAGTAAATACTTTATATAAAGAATAAAAGCTAAAGCTTTTGATATTCACAACAGCACATATTAACATTAAACATCCATAAACTTGGTTATAAGTCTGATGTAATATGAATTTTAAAAGTTTTCAAAGTCAGTAAACTAATTATATATAACATTTATTTATATCCCAGTATTTACATCTTGGGTAAGCTTACTTTCAAGTCTGCTTACAAATAAAATTTCTTTAAAAATAGATTTGAGTATATTTACTGCAAATATTTTAATACATTTAATCATTTTGGATTCTTATTTGGTTTTGGCAGGTTTTTTATTGTAGACTTTTTGTCAAACACAATCTGAAATTAAATACTGACTTTTAAATGTTTTACATTATATTAACAGCTGTCATCAAAATAGCATAGAGTATATAGATGAGATCCATCCTACACTGCCTAGGCATACAGACTATGGAATATGTTCTTACTGTTACTTACACCGCATCGAGAATGTCAAACTATTTCTGGAGTCAGCTACTAATCTATGTAAACAATTTGGTAAGTTTAAAATAAATTACTAGATTTGATAGAAAAATGCCAGAATTATTTTTAAACTATTATCATAATATTGAATACTGCCTTCGAATGCAAAAATATATCAAGTATTTGTAACAGTACATAAAACACTTGAAAACATTTGACATGCTGTAAAGGGACCACAAAACAAGATGTCTAAAGAAACATGTCTTTTTCTCAAAATTTTACAAAAAATACTATTTGAAAAATTCCCAATATTCTCACCATTTTCATAGCTTGACTAACAATACAAATAGACATTTAAAAGAATGTAAAAAAGACATTTTTGCTTTTTAAATAAAACATATCAGCTAAAATTATGTTGATTATAGAAAACATTTTAATTAAATTTTACTTTCAGTTCTGAAGATTGCTAATATAAACACGTCAATGGCTGGTAACACAACGACAGTGGATGGTATCATATGGAAAGATTTGATCTCTAAGGAAACTTTTAAAAAACAAAAGGTTCAATTCCAAGTACCTTGTACATGTCAACTGAACACAAGACCAATTATCCTTCTGACAGACCTGGATGATTATAGCAATCTGTTGAGATTAGGTGACAGTGACCTAATTATTCCATGGAGTAAAAGAGCAAGCAATTACCTGCAGAAAAAGGCAACACAGTGTGTAAATGACAAAAATAAATTTGTCTTTGACAAAGTGGCTGGGATCAAAATATCTATTGAATTAACAAAATCTGAAATGAAGTTATAACAACATCTCAAATTAGGTCAAGGAATTAAAATTCTTGTTTCCTATGAAAGTATAAGTTTCCTTACACTTGATTTCAAATATTTCCAAGAATTAGTTATAAAGTTTGCTATAGCTTATCATGAAAATAATTGTGATTTCCTAAAAAATAACAATGCCAATATACTTTTCATAGGACTCGAGCAAGATGTTAATACTACCAGCCAATGCTTTGCCAATTCCCCATTTAAAATATAACAATATTGTGGAAATCATATAAGTTTTAAGTCAAGAAATTATTTGGGAACTCAGATATCCCAAACAAAATGTAATTAATAAGTCGCATTATATATGTTTTAAATCAAGCAAATTTCACAAAACACCTTCTATTTTTGGAGAACTGGTCATAAGAACTAGGTCAGAGAGGTGGATATTGGTAAAGCTAGTTTAATTATACTCAGGTTGTAGGATGTTGAAGATAGTTGATGGACTGTATGAAAAAATCTATGTGAAATCTCAAAGACAAGCAAAATCAGTTCTTAATCTAATATCATTTTGTTTGTAATGACAAATGTTGATAGGGCTTTTTGCTTTGTATTATGTTAATATACTGCCATCATCAATATCATTAAGTTTATGTCCATCTCATATGTGTGTTAGTCTTATTTGACTGTAAAATGGCCTATTTATCAACTTCTCATTTTACTATCATGCATTGTTGTAAATATACATGTTTATTTATGTAATATTACATTTTATAATAAAAGTGTTTTAGATCCTTGATTGTTGTGGCTTATAATAAAATTTCTATAAAAGGCAATTTCCAATTGTAAATTATTGTTACCATAATACCTGTAAGTGTAAATCATAATTATCATCATTAAATTGTTTTCCTTTCCAAAAGAGCTGTATATACATCTACAACAGGATTAACAGAAAACAAGATAGTTAAGTTTAATATTCCACAGCTTCTGTTTCCTTTCATGATTTTCTTAACAGAGGGTCATATTGCTTACAAAGATGTTATATAACCAAGGGTTCCAAATTGTAAAGCTGAAGTCATCCCTTTGAAAGTTTTATAGAGGCAATCTTAATTTGGTTGATTGTTATGGAATATTTGTCATAGATGACCATGGATATGTTTCAATTGTCAGAACCACAATCCAGTCCTCTTTTCCATGATTGAGACATCATCGAATGTGACTTATCACCTAATGTCTGCTTGCAAGGAGTTCTAAAACAAGTGCCACTAGTGGAGAAGGAACTGCTTATCCTTGAACTAAGGTTCAAGTTAGTCAATATTTATAATTCTGTGATGTGTCTGGTTCAAGATAGTCAATATTTATAATTCTGTGATGTGTCTAGTTCAAGTAAGTCAACATTTAGAGTTCTGTGATGTGTCTGGTTCAAGTTAGTCAACATTTAGTTTTTTGAGAGGTGTCTGGTTCAAGTTAGTCAACATTTAGAGTTTTGTGATGTGTCTTGTTCAAGTTAGTCAATATTTAGTTTTCTGTGATGGGTCTTGTTCAAGTTAGTCAATATTTAGTTTTCTGTGATGTGTCTGTTTCAAGTTAGTCAATATTTAGTTTTCTGTGAGGTGTTTTGTTCAAGTTAGTCAATATATAGTTTCCTGTGGGGTGTCTGGTTCAAGTTAGTTAATATTTAGTTTTCTGTGATGTGTCTGGTTCAAGTTAGTCAATATATATTTAGTTTCCTGTGGGGTGTCTGGTTCAAGTTTGTCAATATTTAGTTTTCTGTGATGTGTCTGGTTCAAGTTAGTCAATATATATTTAGTTTCCTGTGGGGTGTCTGGTTCAAGTTAGTCAATATTTAGTTTTCTGTGATGTGTCTGGTTCAAGTTAGTCAATATATATTTAGTTTCCTGTGGGGTGTCTGGTTCAAGTTAGTCAATATTTAGTTTTCTGTGATGTGTCTGGTTCAAGTTAGTCAATATATAGTTTCTTGTGAGGTGTCTGGTTCAAGTTAGTCAATATATAGTTTCCTGTGATGTGTCTGGTTCAAGTTAGTCAATATTTAGTTTTCTGTGATGTGTCTGGTTCAAGTTAGTCAATATATAGTTTCTTGTGAGGTGTCTGGTTCAAGTTAGTCAATATATAGTTTCCTGTGATGTGTCTGGTTCATGTTAGTCAATATTTAGTTTTCTGTGATGTGTCTGGTTCAAGTTAGTCAATATTTAGTTTCTTGTGAGGTGTCTGGTTCAAGTTAGTCAATATATAGTTTCCTGTGATGTGTCTGGTTCAAGTTAGTCAATATTTAGTTTTCTGTGATGTGTCTGGTTCAAGTTAGTCAATATATAGTTTCCTGTGGGGTGTCTGGTTCAAGTTAGTTAATATTTAGTTTTCTGTGATTGATCTGTTAGTTAACATAATATACAAATATACTAAAAGAAAGCTGCAGATCTACTGCATCTACAAAAAAGTCTTAATAATTACATATTTTATTAAGTTTTCTATGTCCAAGTACTTTAATTCCTTAAAAACTAGGTCATACCTAATGAAATGCAAACTTGATCTGTCAGTAATTGTTATACACAAATATACCAATAAAATGCTCCGCTGGGGCGCAGCTTGATACGACTGCAGAGGTCTAACCCTGAACAGTTGGGGCAAGTATGGACACAACATTCAAGCTTGATACAGCACTGAATTTGGATTGTAATTAAATATTTGACACAGCATAGGTTTCTGACACAGAATGAATGTGGTCTAAGAACTTAAAATTTTTTAATTTACCTATTCAAACCATATCATTATTATTTGCTTTTATATATAAATCAGAAATAACCAATTTAAAATGGAAAATTTTAAAGAAAAAAAAGGAGAAAAAAAATCCCCCCCCCAAATTTTTTTAACCCCCTTATGATTCATCACCCCCAAACTCAATCCCAGCTTTCCCTTTGTGGTATGGTACCTTACAGTACAATTTCAGAGAGATCCATACACTTGAACACAAGTTATTGTCTGGAAACTAGAAAAATGCTTGTTTTTTGGCCCCTTTTTGGCCCCAAATTCCTAAACGTTTAGGGCAATTACCCCCAAACTCAAACCCAGCTTTCCCTTTGTGATATGGAACCTTGCAGTACAATTTCATAAAGATCCATACACTTACACACAAGTAATTGTCCTGAAACTAAAAAAATGCTTGTTTTTTTGCCCCTTTATGGCCCCTAGTTCCTAATATTTTGAGGGAATTACCCCCAAAATCAATCCCAGCCTTCCCTTTGTGGTATGGTACCTTGCAGTCCAATTTCAGAGAGATCCATACACTTGAACACAAGTTATTTGTCTGGAAACTAGATAAATGCTTCTTTTTGGCCCCTTTTGGCCCACTATTCCTAAACGTTTTAGGCAATTACCCCCAAACTCAATTCCATCTTTCCCTTTGTGATATGGAACCTTGTAGTACAATGTCAGAGAGATCCATACACTTACACACAAGTTATTGTCATGAAACTAGAAAAATGCTTGTTTTTTGCCCCTTTTTGGCCCCTAAATCCTAAAATTTGGAGGCAATTACCCTTAAAATCAATCCCAGCATTTCCTTTGTGATATGGAACCTTGTGGTACAATGTCAGAGAGATCCGTACACTTACACACAAGTTATTGTCATGAAACTAGAAAAATGCTTGTTTTTTGCCCCTTTTTGGCCCCTAATTCCTAAAATTTTGAGGCAATTACCCCCAATATCAATCCCAGCATTCCCTTTGTGATATGGAACCTTGTGGTACAATGTCAGAGAGATCCGTACACTAACACACAAGTTATGTCTGGAAGTTACAAAAATGCTTATTTTTGGCCCCTTTTTGGCCCCTAATTCCTTAACTGTTGGTACCATAACCCCTAAAATCAATCCCCACCTTCCTTTTGTGGTATTGAACCTTATGGTAAAATTTCATAGAGATCCATTCACTTAAACTAAAGTTAGAGTGCGAAAACCAATGTGTCTTCGGACAGTTTCACAAGTAAATTGATGTCAATTTTGATTTTGCGGTACCCTCATATTTGGTTAACCACAGGATACAAATGTTAACATAAGCATGCTAACCTTTCTGAGCAGGCTTATCACAAGATATTCTTCAGTCAATGATTATATGTTCAGTAATAGCATTTCTAAAAGTCTCTGAGTAAAATTGATGATACATTATAAATACAGTGGTGCCAGTATTATAAGGAAATCATGGCAATGACTTGATAATGACTCCTATTCAACACATATTTGATTTTAAAGGTTAATTTAAGTCATTACCTTCTTTTTGAACTTTTAAAATAGTTTGGCTCAACTAAATGAGAAAATAATGGAGTTTACTAAAAAAAAAAATCTTTTATAAACAAGAAAGGTTTTTTTTTTTAGTTTTTATACTATGCAAAATTTTGCAAATCTATTTTAACAACTATAACAGATCTATAGAATCTGGTACTGATAATGATAAATAAATGATGATTTTTTTTAAAAATGTTATGTTCTAGCTGTTAAAAAAATTTTGTACAGCTACCATTATTTAAATATGCATTATTTTTAATACATCATGAAAAGTTTCTAAGTGCTATAAGTATAGGAGGAGTTATAAGAACTAAACATGTACTCTATTACCCAAAGCCAACATACATTATAACTTAGCAAAATTCAGATTTTCATTTTTTGCCAACTGACACAAAAACTGTGTGAGTCAGTGAAAGGTTGAAAACTCTGAGGCCCATATAATGAAATAATGACCTTTACTGTTTGAAAACAGTTTCTGGTTATTTCCATGAGTCAAAGGGTTAGCTTAGAAGTAGAAATTTTCATTTATGAATGCATTACCTCATACAGAAAAATCTGGTATGTTTTCAAATTCCAAATTGATGAATCACATATTCCCTTAGCATTTGTATTTTTCTAGCTGTTCCTACCCTAGTTTTTGTACTATTCCAAAGTCAACAGGTACATGATAGTACATTTAAAGTCTTTGCATACTAACCAAATAACATCCTATTACACGACCTAGTTAAAATAGTACTTGATTTTAAATTTCTTAGGGGTTTTCTTATCATGTCTTTGCAAATTGTTAATCTCATCAAAAAAACAATGAAACTAATTATGATCTACAACTTAAGAGACAATGATAGACAAGCATCCATTCAAATGGTCAACTCTAAATCAACCAGGTAATTGTTCTTAAAACTTGATGTAATGATATGACTTTGTTAAAATTAATCTATTTCAATTTGTTTCACACTTGGCAAATTACCACAATTTAGCTTGGTCAATCTTAAACTAGGTTCTTTTTTTATTCCTGTTTTTCAAGAATAAACTGTGACTTGACTGTAAAAGTTTCTCTCAAACTATTGCAATTCTTTAAAAATTCTGACCCAATTTTTGTCATCAAACCAAACTGTTCATTAGGTCAGATATTTTACCAATTCACCAGTAAATTGGTATCAATTTTTATTTTTTTAACACTGTTATATTTAGTTAACCACAGGGCACACAAAGTTATCTGGGCATTAATTAAACCACAAAGTATTTCTAAATTGCTGTGATAAGGATCTGCCACAAATAAATCATATATACCATGAACTGTATTATTAAAAAATAAATGTGGATTGTGTCCACATGTGTCCACAGATGATGCCCCCCCCCCCGCTTGCATATCATATACTGTGGATTGATTTATTTTCGTGGGAACCAATTTTCGTGGTTTGAGGAAAACTTGCATATTCGTGGATATTTTCCTAATTTAAACAGAGCTCAATTTAAATAGTTTTCACTGTTACAGTAATA